GAGGTAAATTGCAGAGGTACAAAGGCATGTGCACAAAGAGGGCTGGCAACTGAGGACGTGGTTGTCTTTTTCCATCAGGAGGGAGACATAAGCTCCTGGCTGCTCTGAACTCCAGTTCCAGGTGAGACACTGGGGACTCAGACTCATACAGGGAGAAACTGGACTGTCTGACATTGGGCGGAACTCAAGGGCAGCTTTCTCTCAGCTTTGCTTGCTGTGATTACCCAGGGGCACTGAGATCTAGGGGCCTCTTAAGGCAGGGCTGAAGATCAGCCATAGCTGTTTCCTCCACTCTGTTAATTCCCTGAGACCCCACTCCACCCAAGCTGTGTACAGAGGCTTTTGCAATCTAAAATTAACTAACAAACTGCAGCTGGGTCAGAGAGACCCAAAACACCCAAAAGAAGGGCCAAGGCCCCACAGCAGTAAGCACTGCTTCACAGTGAGCCTCATCTGAGTACCTCCAAAACCCAGACAAAGAAGAGGAATCTGCAGATCTCTTTGTAGCTCCTGCTGGATGGCTTCAGGCAGAGGCTAAATTAGCACCTCTTTAGAGATTCAAGAGCCACTGTACCCAGTGGTCAGAATGGGACCATCCGGATTAAAACTCCTCAGATCCATAAGGAACCTACTCAGGGGGCAGATTCGGTGAGCACCAAAGCCCCACTGAAGGAAGTCTTGCCTCGTAAGGATGTCTCCAGCACAGAAGTTCTCCCAGCATAGCCAATTGGCTTGGAGATAAATTCATCCCAGGGATACCAACAATAATCAAGGCTTAATTACAACAAGACTGTGCACACAGCCTACAAAGGGGTGCACCAAGCTCAGGTAACTGGGGAGGCTGAGCCATTGGGCCATATAGGACACCTAGTACACAAAGCCACCAACAACACAAGGAAGTGGCCAAAATGTGGAGACAAAGAAACAGATCACAAATGACAGAAATGGAGGAAAGCAAACTACTGGATATAGAGTTCAAAACCATGGGTATAAGGTTTTTCAAGAATTTTCTAGAAACTTCTGATAAATTTAGTGAGACCCTCGAGGATATGAAAAAGGACCAACTAGAAATTAAGCATACACTGACTGAAATAAAGAATAATATACGGAGATCCAACAATAGACTAGAGGATTGCAAGAATCAAGTCAAAGATCTGAAATACAAAGAAGCAAAACAAAAACAAACAAACAAAAAAACACAACCAACCAGAAAAGCAAAAAGAACCCAAAAATATTGAAGATAGTGTCAGGAGCCTCTGGGACAACTTCAAGCATACCAACATCCGAATTATGGAAGTGCCAGAATAAGAGAGCAAGATACTTGAAAACCTATTTGAAGAAATAATGACAGAAAACTTCCCCCACCTGGTGAAAGAAATACAAGTCCAGGAAGCACAGAGATACCCAAACAAAAGGAATCCAAAGAGGACCACACCAAGACATATAATTATTAAAATGCCAAGAGTAAAAGACAAAGAGAATATTAAAAGCAGCAAGAGAAAAAATAGTTAACTACCTACAAGGGCATACCCATACGATTGTCAGCTGATTTCTCAACAGAAACTATGCAGGCCAGAAGGGAGTGGCAAGAAATATTTAAAGTGATGAATAGTAAGAAGCCACAACCAAGATTATTCTACCCAGCTAAGCTATCATTCAAAATAAAAGGTCAGATAAAGAGCTTCACAGATAAGAAAAAGCTAAAGGAGTTCATCACCACCAAACCAGTATTATATGAAATGCTGAAAAGTATTCTTTAAGAAGAACAAGGAGAATAAAAAGGTAAAGAGAAAAATTATGAACAAATACATATGTATTAACAAATGAATCTAAAAATCAAGTGAATAAAAATCTGTACAGAATAAACTGGTGAATATAAAAGGATCAGGGGCACAGAAAGGGAGTGGACTGACAATTCTCAGAGGAAAGGAGTGTGGGGGGTGCGGGAAGAGACTGGACAAAAATTGTACACTTATGGATGAGGACAGTGAGGGGAGTAAGGGCAGGGGGGGAACCAGGTAGAGGGGAACTATGGGGGTGGGGGGAGATGAGGAACAACTGTAATAATATGAGCAATAAAGATTTATTTTAAAAATTTATAAAAGGCACAGTAGGGGATTAGCAACAATGAATAATAAAAATGTACTATAATAAAAGTTATATAAATGTGACATTACTAAATAAAGTAAGGGTTTTTTGAATACAAGCACTGTGAAACCAGGACAGTCTATCACTGAGATGGCTTCTAAGTGACTAACAGGTGGATAGCATATACAACATGGACAGGTCCCAGGCAGGGCAGTGCAAGATTTCATAATGCTACTCATTGCAAAAGTATAAGTTATTAACTAGTTCTAGAATTTTCCATTTAATATTTCAGACTACAGTTGACTTTGGGGTAACTGAAATCAGTCCCACAGATATGAGGACTACTGTATACACATATATAACATGTATTATTTTAGTTAATTTATAATTTCTTAAATCACCTTCTTTGTCCTCCATAGGCTCCTTATTTATTATTATTTAATATATTTTTATTGATTTCAGAGAGAAAAAGGAGAGGGAGAGACAGCAGTGACGAGAAAATCCCTGATTGGCTGCCTCCTGAATGCCCCCCACTGGGAACTGAGCTCTCAACCAGGACATGTGTGCTGGCCTGGAATTGAGCTGCGACCCCTTAGTTGACACTCAACCAATGAGCCATGGTGGCTAGGCTCCATAGGCTCTTCAAATAAATCATCAAGGGCTTATTCAAGGCTCTGCCCTCAGCTTGTTCCTATCTGTTTCCCAGGAATAACCTTATCTCCCCCACTGCTTCTATCATTTCTCTGTTGGCAAAACCTAAACCTGAAAATTTCAAGTCAAATCTCTCTCCTTCCAAATCCATGTGCCTCTGTATCCAATTACTAGGCACTTACACTTGGAAAATTTAAACATACCCTGCACAAAATTCATGAACTGCCCATACTTGCATCTCAAACTGCTCCTAAACCAAGCTCCTCTCCTCCTCTTCCTCAGTCTCCACATGCAGGTGGACCTACTTTTTAACTAGCTCTCTGGTTTTGAATTTTGCTTCCAGGTCATATGATTGCTCATCTGAATTACAGTAAAAGACTCCTAACTGCTTTTCATCTCTAGGTTTGCCCCTGGTAAATTAATTCTCTTCACTGGGAAAATGAGCTTTCTAAAAAACTAATCCTTCATTGGCTTTATGGGGAGGATTTATAATGGTAGAAAGACACAAATTTTGAGAGTACAACAAACCTGTGTTTGAACCCAGGTTCTAACCTTGTGAAAATTAACCCCCTCAAATGAAAAATGGCTGACACAATTCTCTAACCCCCTCAAATGAAAAATGGCTGACACAATTCTGAAAAGTCGAGTCAATAAATCAAGCCTTTGCATAGTAGATACTATAAAACACAACAATCCCTTCATAACTGGTAGCCACCATCATTCCCTCAGGACAAAATCCAGATTTTTTAATATGACAGACAAGGTGTTCATATTAAAGACCTCTGTCAGTTTACCACCCACACTCTTCCCTTCTGCTGCCTTGACCCCCTGCAAATTCTCTCAGGACTGGTCTGTTTACAGTGGCTGCCTCCTCTGCCCAGGATGATGCTTTCAATCCTGTCCTCCTTCAAAGCTCACTCCTTACGTGTCAAACTCCATGAATTCTTCCTCCAACTCCCCCCTCCCACCTCAGATTGGCTGAGGAAGCTCTGTTAGTACTCCCACAGTAACTGTGCTCACTTTCATTATGCTGGAAACTGATCATTGACCCACTAATAGAGATGTGGACAGGGAATCCGGAAGGCCGGTCAACCTTAAATGCTCTGAAAGGTTGGAGCTGATCACTCATTGTTTAGTTGAGACACTGGTAGCTAAAACAGCCTCCAACTGTTAGTCTTATGTAAATTCTTTATGATTGGCTATTATTGGAATTTCCTGCCTAAAGGATATGGGTGTATCCTATAACCTTAATAAAAGGGACAGCAAAGCCAGAGTGGGGTGTAGTCCTCCCCCTAGAGGTGGACTCCAAATTGGCCCCCAATATTCCCAAATTAATACTTTTCTAGTCTCTTTCATTCATGTGCAGCCTTCTCCAGAACCCGAACCCTGAACCATGCAGGACATGAACAGGGGTTCCCACACCATTACATTTACTGAAATGGTCTCCTTATCTGCCTATCTCTTGTACTAGGCTGAGCTCTCTAGGGCAGAGCTCAATCCCATATTAATTCCTGGCACACAGTAGGTATTGCATAAATGATAGTAACATAAAACATAACTTGAACGGCTACACAAAAAGACTAAAATAAAAACAAAACACCCACAGAATTCCTTTTAATTGGCTTTAGTGTTCGAAGATTTAAAAAAATATATATATTTTATTGATTTTTTACAGAGAGGAAATGTTTCTAACTAGAAACATTGATGAGAGAGACACATCGATCAACCACCTCCTGCATACCCAGTGGGGGGCATTCAGGAGGCAGCCAATCAGGGATTTTCTCGTCACTGCTGTCTCGTCACTTCAGTCAAGGCATGTGCCCACAACCAAGGTACATGCCCTTGACTGAAATCGAACCTGGGACCTTCCAGTCCGCAGGCCAATGCTCTATCCACTGAGCCAAACCAGTTTTGGCTAGTGTCCAAAGATTTTTCCCCATCCAGAAGCCAATTTTTACAAATATGAATGCTGGAGTAACTGTTAAATTACTTTGCCTTAAAGACCCAGGTACTGGCAATACCAGCAATAGATTTAACAGAGTATAACTTGTATTTACTTTAGTCACTTTTCCATGCTTTTTTAAACAGAATGATACTAAATCAGTATAACTAAAGCAACAGCATTAACCATTAAATTTAGCCTCTAAGTTATTAAATTGAAGACAATTATGCCTAAATCTCCCATCAATAAGCAGATGATAAATTGGCATTGCAAGTTTTTAAAAGGTGTAGCAATAGATAAATATTATGTTTTTACTCACCAGCTTCACGTAATCTATTCCCTTCTGCTTTTGTCCGGTTAGTTCTTTCACTTCCAGCAAGATCCACCAAGGACAACTGGCTTATAGTGATTTGTTCTTTTTCCTGAAGAGATCATCATAATGCCAATTATATAACATGAGCTATAAGTAGTTTACAATGTTCTTTAAACATGTTTAAATTAACAAATAATTATGAATACTAGAGGCCTCGTGCACAACATTTGTGCACTGGAAGGGGGGTTGTCCCTCAGCCTGGCCTGTGATCTCTGGTACCCCTCGGGGGATGTCTGCAGGCCTAAATCAGTAGTTGGACATCCCCTGAGAGGTCCTTAGCACTGCCACAGAGGTGGGAGAGGCTCCCCCACCACCTCTTCGCTTGCCAGCAGTGAGCCTGGCTTCTGGCTGAGTGGCACTACTCCTGTGGGAGCACAATGACCACCAGGGGGCAGCTCCTGCATTGAGTGTCTGCCTCCTAGTGGTCAGTGCACATCATAGCAACTGGTCATTCTGCAATTAGGTCGATTTGCATATTAGGGTTTTATTATATAGGATAATATTTGCACAATATAAAATGTACTGGTAGGAGCACAATATAAAATGTACGAGTTTTTGGGTAAAAGTTTTCTAAAAGCATATGATAAATATACTCATGACATTAATGATTACTTGCCCATTGTCTGGTCTTCTACATTATGATATAAGCTCCATGAATGCAGGGACTCTGCCTTGTAATGATTTTATCTCCAGAATCTTACACAGTGCCTAGCTCTCAGCAGGAGCTCAATAAATATATGCTAAATAGTGAGTCTAGTACAAGGCTAGCCTAAATTTTTTTTATAATCATATTTAATAACTTTGTGATCTGATAACTTCATAATATGCTAATAATTTTTATAAGAAATGAAAGTCGAGGCACATAACTGACATTGTAATGTTAGATGCAATTCAAAGAAAATCAAGTTTCTATGGAAGCTTGATTTATAACCATTTATCTAGTGTTGACTAAAAGTCAAAAATGGGGTTAAGAACTTTATATGTACTACCTCCTTTAATCCCCTCAACAATAGGAGTTTATTACTATAAGGCCAAATAGCCAGGACATTAGAAGAAAATAAAAATTCGAATCCTAGTGGTCTCTAATACCATTGTCACATTTTCTCCTGACATCTAGAAACTTTTGTGATACCACACTTTCATAATGCATTTTGAATAGAATACACCCTAATAGCTTAAATTATTAAATAATTTATATTTGGGCTCAAGTGTGCTTACTAATTGATGTAAGCCTTGTAGCACAACAGTCCTTGCAATAAACAGTGATCAACAGATCAGCCAAGAGAAGAACCTTTTAGAATTAGATATCTCCTGAACTAATCCTGCCCTGGAAAGTTAATTGCTGACAGTTAAAAACCATTAATTGAATTTCCACATACAAAATGAATCTTCAAAGGTAAAACAATGGATCACAAATTCTTATTTATAAATATTTGTAAACCTTTTTCATGGTAAAAATTCAGGTTTTGAGAGTAGCCAGTTTCTACACATCTAACAGAATTAAAACCAACACCTAACATATATTATCAACCCTAGAGGATCGATTTTCAACCTTTTTCATTCTATGGCACACATAAACTTACTAAAATTCTGTGGAAAACCACAAAATATATTTTTTGCCTACCTGCCAAAAAAAGTATACCTACAAATGGCTAATAAGTTGGGAACATTATTTTTAATATGTAAGAGATATTCAGAATGCTCACAATGAAAAATACAACTTTTTAAAAACATTTTATTGATTTTCAGAGAGAGAGAAACAGAAGAATGGGAGGGGAGGAGGGCAGAAAAGAAACAAGAGAGATAAACATCATTTTGCTGTTCCATCCATTATGCATTCATTGGTTGATTCTTGCATGTGCCCTGACCGGGATTGAACCCACAACTATGGGGCAGCTGCCCCATGAGCCATATAAATGTGTTAAATCATTTGTTCTGGCCCTGCCAAGGCATTAGGGATGAGTTAATTATGTGTTTGATCAAATATAGCAGGCTAATTTTTAAGATGATAATTTTGTGTGGCTGAGAATGTTATAAACATCCAAAAGGCCCTTAGCAAAAAAAAGGTTCCCCACCTCTGATATATAGGGACGATGCTCTAACCAACTGGGCTACCTGGCAAGGGCTCAACTTTTTTAAGAATAAGAAATTACCCTGAGTAGCATCTAGATTTGTAATGAAGAAGGATAGTTTGGATAAAGTAGCTAGGGCTGGATTACACAGTGCTTTGTATAGGATCTGCCGAAGCATCTATCCAGCTTGGTATCCTGTGCAAGTTTGTTACTTTCTGGACAGACATATATAAAAACTCAGATGGTCTCCTTAAAAATCAGATAGTTTCTTCTGTACTGAAAGCATTTTTATGTTTTCTAGTTAAAAAATAATATTTTCTTACAGACATTGTGCAATAAAGCTGAATCAGGATGTGTGGTTTCTGCAAATGCTTTAATAGCTGGTAAAATTTAAAAAAGTAATATATGTACTGGTAAAAATAACTTTTTTTTTTTTTTTTAAATATATTTTATTGGTTTTGTACAGAGAGGAAGGGAGAGAGAGAGAGAGTTAGAAACATCAATGAGAGAGAGTCATCGATCAGCTGCCTCTTGCACACCCCCTACTGGGGATGTGTCCGCAACCAAGGTACATGCCCTTGACCGGAATCGAACCCGGGTCCCTTCAGTCCCCAAGCCGATGCTCTATCCATTGAGCTAAACCGGTTTTGGCAAAAATAACTTTTAAGTTATATTTTAATATGCTAAAAAAAAGATTTCTGTGGAAAATCTTTGTTTTAGAGCAATCTTCATTGCAACAAAACCTCCCTGATTTAATTTTAATTCCAAAAATTAAGGATTCAGTTAAAAAATCTTATACACTACAACTTACCTGTAAGACATTGTCTCCATCTGCATCCAGTGGGGCTTGAACTAATTTAATATTGAATACACTATGGGAACGGCTGGACTCACGATTCAAATGTGTGTTAGCAATACGTCTCTTTTTCTGGCCTATAACAATAGGAGGGGGGGAAAATCATTGCTCAAATCTGAACTCAGCCATTTCATTATATACGGTTTCTTTCTTTTCTTTTAAAATTGATTTTCAGAAAGAGCAAAGGAGAGGGAGAAAAAACAGTGATCAGCTGCCTCCTGCATGTCCCTACTGGGGATAGAGCCCACAATCATGTGCCCTGACCAGGAATTGAACTGGCAACCTTTTGGTGCAAGGGAATGATGCTGAACCAACTGAGCCACACTGGCTAGGGCATTACATGCTTTCTACTAAACCAAAAAGTACTGCTGTCAAATATATTTATCGTTTTATAGTTTTCTAATTTTAAGTCTAACCTTTCCAGAAAACTTCAAAAGCCTCTTCAGTAGATTTTACTTCTACTTCTGTACATCCTGCGACATACATATTATGATTCTTGTCTTCACGAAGCAATTTAGATTGTAGAGGCCTAAGGGAAAGAAAAAATATACAAGTTTGCTAAGTTATGAGTTATTGAATAATTAATAAATTGAGCTATCTAAAATGCCAAGCAACATGATATCAATTGTTATAATGGAAATACACCTAAGCAAGAACCCAGAAAAAATATTAAACAGTTAATTTTAAAGATATATAATGTCAAGATTACTTATAAAAACCTATTTTGTTTTAAAAGGTTTGCTCTAATTTGTTCTAACAAAGTACATAATATAACACTTACTAAACAATTAGAGATCATAGTAGTATTATGACAATATTACATGCACAAGTTAAGCATCAAAATTTAGTATTTTCCTAAATTTAAAAGATCAATGGATAGAACTGATTCTGACCTCAGGGTCAGCAAAAAACAAAAAACAAAAGCAAAGAAAAATAAAAATAAAAATTCAGAGAGAGTTTGGTATATACCAGGAGTGGCAATCCAAAGTGGCTGTATGATAAGATAAAATGGGAAAGGGCACCACTTATTTGGTCTCAGTTTGTGAGTGGTAGAGATAAAAACATTTATCAGCTACCATCACCTACTAAATGGCTGACTTTTCAGGAAGCAAGGAGGGGCTCATTGGTAGCAAATACCAGTGCCAATGAAAAACCACTACATACAAATAGTCCACAGATGCCAAACACTAGTATATATCTGCACCCTTCTCCTTATTAAAAAAAAAAAAAAAAGTCAACACAATCACATACAGAAAGTCTGTGTTCCTCATGGGGGTGTTGTAAACGTTCCACCTACCAAAGGAATAAGGTATAAGTTACTGTTTTTACAGCAGCCATCACAGTAACATGTTCAACCCATAGTATGTGACAGTCACAATGAGTTGTATCTTAAAACTCCTCCAATGCAGTATTTCTTCATTGTATTAAAAACACACACATACTAAACATTAGTCAGTTCAAAAAAGCAGGTAATATACCACCTGAACAAATTAAAACTGAACTCAGTGCCAAATAAGCACTTCGTGAGTTTATTCAAAAAGTTATTAAAAGGAAGGCACACAAGTCATATTTGTCAGTCCTTTTGTGTAACAAAATAAAATCAGGATAATAGGCACCTATGAAAATAATCTCATTTAGGACAAACAAAAACTTGGCACATGTGCAAACATGAAACTGACTGTTAGCAGTGAATAACATCACAAAAGTTTAGGAAAATAGGTATGCAGAACTGACACTTGGTTGTTGCTTTTTAAATTAATATATTTTTATTGACTTTAGAGAGGAAAGAAAAGAGATAGAAACATCAATGATGAGAGAAAATCACTGATTGGCTGCCTCCTGCACACGCCCTACTGGGGATTGAGCCTGCAACCTGGGCATGTGCACTTGCCAGAATCAAACCTGAAACTGTTCAGTCCGACATTCTATCTCCTGAGCCAAACGGAGTAGGACCAGAACTGACACTTTGAAACAAATGGGAAAGTAATTAGTCTATACACTGTTTAATGTAAGTAAAAGTGGACCTACTGACACGTGTTCTGTGTCTAATGGTTTCTAAATCCAATTCTTTTTCCAATAATGTTGGGTTAGACGTACACACAAAAGTTAAATATATGACAAAGGTCTTCATATTATTGTTCTGAAAGGCCCTAAAGAGGGCACCCATCTATCTATCTATCTATCTATCTATCTATCTATCTATCTATCTATCTATCTATCTATAAAAGGCTAATATGTAAGCATTCGACCGGGAGTTTGATTGCTTGCTATGATATGCAATGACCACTAGGAGGTGGCACAGAATCAAGGAAGGATCCGGCCAACAACAAGGGAAGGGAGGCTCCAGCAGGCAGCTGGAAGACCCCAACTGGCCCTGATCACAGGCCAGGCCTAGGGACCCTTCCCATGCATGAATTTCATGCACCAGGCGTCTAGCTGAATTAAGCATTTAGCTTAGGAATTAAACCATCAACTCAAAAACAAGGTATTAATATTAGACATGGAATTCCAGAGTTAGCTCTGGCATAAATGCAGATTCATTGTTTGTGATGTCAGGTTGTAACTGGTCTTCATTCTCAGCAGGGCAAGACTTAAGGACAGGGAGTGAGTGGTCTTTTAACTCTGGCAGAATGACAATAGAGATGTCATTTCGCATTAATCAATGAGGGAAGGTCTGTGAATATTAGTTGTATAAACAACAGCTTCAGACTCCATTTTTAGAGATCACCACAACAAATGGTCAAAATGGTTACAGACTCCCAACACTCAGTGCCAAGTTTTTGAAAGGTAGCCTCAGGCACACTGACAGTGAAACTTCCTTATCCAATTAAGGTCCTTCTTAAAATATAGCTCAGGGACAAGAGTTTTCAAAAATAATGTTAGGACTCCTCCTTAGATGCTTTAATCCACAAGGTCCCAGAACATCTATATACGTACATAATAAAATGAATCATTAAGCACCAGCTGCATGCTATACAGTTATATATTTCATTTTGAAAACAAAAATAAGCATTATCCCTATTTAAGGCTCACTAAGGTGAGTGACTGCCCGAAGATTACGCAGCTAAGCAGGGACTATCTTCATTACTTACTTAGGTTTTATGGGATCAAACGGCACCTCTTCCAGTAGATCATATATGTAATTATTATATATTTCAATGTAAGACACAAATACACCATAGACACTATCCTCATCAACTTCTGCTTTGCAAAATTCTTGTACATTTATCATATCTGCAAACTCTGGATCTATTTGTCGTCTGGAAAAGGAAAAAAAGCCAGAAAGTCTGATTTTTTACCTTGTGAATATCAAAAGTAAATTGATCCCAAGAGGAAGCTAAAAGATTTAGCACAAATGTCCTGCCTTACAAGCAGAAATGCACAAAGAACTTTATTCACTCACAATCAGCCAACAATACTCCCATGTCTTCCCAGATAAATAGCACAGGCTTTTACACCCTCTTCCACCCACAGTGGCACCTTTTCTAAGCAGTGATTCAAAGGCAGTGTTCATAGAGAGAGAGAGAGAGAGAACATCCGAGCAAATAAAGTTACTTAAGAACATTCCTCATCTTTGATTTCACTAATGTCAACTTGTCAGGCCCTCTCTATTTCATGCATCATTCCCTATGCCCGAGGAAACCATCAGACAGCGTTCCCTTCAGGCCAGCATTGTAGACAAATGCAATTACTTACTTGCTAGAAGGGGTCTTTGGGTTGGGTATGGCCTCTCTTTTCTGCCGTTCTAATAAGGCATCAACTTCACACTGTATATCCATGCTATTCCTATCATTAGATTTAAAAACCTAAAGTGGGGACAAAAGTCAAACTATGATTTTGAGAATTTGACTTAAATTGTAAGAAACATATTTGAGAACTGAGAAGTTTATTTAAACACCAGAGGCCCAGTGCACGATTTTGGCCCCAATTGGCGGATCAAGGCTGGGCCTGTGCGGAGGAGATGACATGAGGTTGGCTGGCTGGCCATCCCTGATCAGGTCTGATCAGCCCTGGGTCACTGGCAATTGACTGGCGGGCCCCACCTTCCAATTGGTGTACAGCAGGCCAATTGGGGGTGGAGTCGACCATGGGGAGAGGCTGTGGGCGCCTCCAAACATGGTGGAGGGGGCTGATGGGAGGCCAGCAGCCTGGGGGAGAGGCCATGGATGATTGGCCAGCTGGCCCTGTCCCCAATCAGAGTGGGGGGGGAGGGGCGATCTGGGGCAGGGCTGGCCGGGGGAGGGGCTGCGGGACAATCAGGGTGATGGACAGGTCTGGTCCCCCCCAACTGCCCTTCTCTGCAGGCCAGGTCATCCCCAACTTCCCTTCTTTCCTTGTCTGGTCACCCCTAAATGCCCTCCGCTGCAGGCTTGATCGCCAACTGCCCTCCCTTGCATGCCTGGTCCCTCCCAACTGCCCTCCCCTGCTGGCCTGATTGCCCACAACTGCCCTCCCCTGCAGACCTGGTCCCTCCCAACTGCCCTTCCCTGATGGCCATCTTGTGCCCACATGGGGGCAGGATCTTTGACCACATAGGGGCAGCCATCTTGTTTGTTGGAGTGATGGTCAATTTGCATATTACTCTTTTATTAGATAGGATAGAAGCCTGGTACACAGATGGGGGTCAGCTGGTTTGTCCTGAAGGGTGTCCCAGATCAGGTTGGAGATTCCCTTGGGGTGTGAGGTGGCCTGTGGTGGTTTGCAGGTCTTCCACGGCACCCCCTCCCATACGACCCAAGTGGAGGCCCTGGTATCTGGGATTTATCTTCTATAATTGAAACTTTGTAGCCTTGAGTGGAGCCAAGCCTCCTGCTTGCTCCTGTGGCTACAGCCATTTTTGTTGGGATTCATTTATCTTCTATAACTGAAACTTTGTAGCCTTAGCAGAGACCAAAGCAAGCCAGGGTTGGAGAAACTTGGCTTCCTTCATCACCAGGGGCAACTCAAGCCTCCTGTTCTCTCCAGCTCTGTGGCTGCTGCCATTTTTGTTGGGATTTATTCATCTTCTATAATTGAAACTTTATAGACTTGACTGGATGTCTGGGCCCACCAGGATGTAAGAAAGCTTGGCTTCCTCCATTGCCAGAGAAATCCAAGCCTCCTGCTAACTCCATTGCCGCAGCCATCTTGGTTGGGCTAATTTGCATACTAACTCCTGATTGGCTGGTGGCCATGGCTTGTAGGTGTAGTGGATGGTTAATTTGCATATTACTGTTTTATTAAATAGGATAAATATTTAAGATTTCAAAATGTATCCAATAGTTCTCCCATACTGCTACTATATACACAGGTATCTTAGTCCCTGTGTCAAGTGAAATTGTTACAACATAAAAGAATTATACTTACATATCTTTTAGCCTGAAATGACCCTATACTATTAAAGATCATATCCAGACAACGAGGAAGCAGCCCTCCTTCTCCTGGGGAACCAGTCATGGTGTGAGTCTTCCCACTCCCCGTCACACCATATGTGAAAAGAAGACCTGCAACAGAGCAAGTCACACTGGGTTATATCTCCAAAGTCCCCCACTTGTAGTATTTACTCACTGTATTAAAAAACACTTAAAATTAACCAGCTCAGCACCTGACCAGTAAGGCTCAGTGCTTGAGTGTCAACCCATGAACCAAAAGGTCACTGGTTATCTGATCAAGGCACATGCCCAATCCTCAGTAGGGGATGCACATGAGACAGCCAATCAGTGATGTTTATATCTTTCTATCCCTACCCTTTCTTTCTCTCTAAAAAAATAAAAATAACCAGCTCAAAAAAGCAGGCTTCACGCCACCTACTAAATCTGAATTTAAGGCCAAACATAAATCAAAAATACAAATACAAAAACAGTTTTATCAGAGGGGGAGAAAAAGGAAAATCCAACAAAACTCCAAGAATCATACCATTTTTGCCATGAATGAGGTCATCTACCAAGGGGTTAGCCACAGCATCAAAGAGCTCCTTCTGGGTGGTATGAATGCCAAATACTTGTTTAAATGAATACTGAGTCTGTGGAGAAGGAAAAAAATAAAAGTTAAAAAATGAATTCTACTATATCTAGGTTAGTTATACATGTTTAAACCTATTCAGATGTTTCTTTATGAACATTTAAGATCAAGATGCACAAAGAAAAAGTACAGATGGTTTTTAAACCTGGAACTCTGAAAAAAAGCCCTGGCCTGGCTGGTGAGGCTCTGTTGACTGGGCGTCATCCCATGCATTGAAAGATTACTAGTTCAATTCCCGGTCAGGGCACATGCTCGCAGTTTTGGTCTCAATCCCTGGTAGGAGGCAGCCAATCAATGTTTCTCTCCCTCGTTCTCTAAAAATCAACAACAAAATTTTTTAAAGTCATGAGCTACCTAATTATACCAATTATAAATATTAAATCTTTACATTTATAACTCCTGAAGAGAATGCAGAAAAACTTAAACCCACTAATGCTTTACAGACTAAGGCTGACTTTGTTTTACTTAAATGACCAAGTAGATCAAAAGGTATTATAATGACTCAATGACTATATGAAAATCCTCATACATTACCTCACTTTACCACTTTCTATTTTTTCTCATAAAGATGCCATTTTAAATGACATAGCAGCATAAAGCTAAGTATTTCAATGTACTGTGTTTGTTTTTTAAATATATTTTTTATTGATTTTAGAAAGGAAGGAAGAGGGAAAGAGAGAAACATCATTGATGAAAGAGAATCATTGATTGGCTGCCTCCTACAAGCCCTCATTGGGGATTGAGCCCACAACCCCGCATGTGCCCTTGACTGGAATAGAACCTGGGACCCTTCAGTCTGCAGGCTGATGCTCTATCCACTGAGCCAAACCAGTTAGGGCTATACTGTTTTTTGTTTGTTTTTTTAAAAACAGCAGTGAACTGTAAATATAAACTCACTTGAGTTTTTATATAAAATTAGAGGCCTGGCGGGGGTAGAAAAGGGTGTCCCTCAACCTGGCCTGCAACCTCTTCAATCTGGGACCCTTTGAAGGATGTCCTACTGCTGTTTTACAGGGATCGGGCCTAAGCTGGCAGTCAGACATTCCTCTTGGAATCCGGGACTGCTGGCTCCTAACCACCACCTGTCTGCTTGATAGTCCCTCTGCCTGCTGACCTGCTTCCCTCCAACTGCCCCCCCGCCCTCCAGCCTGATCACACCCAACTCTCCCCGTACCAGTGTGCTTGCCCCCAACTGCCTCCTCTGTTGACCTGCTCACCCTCAACTGTACCCCAGCTTGCCTGCTCGCCCCCATCTTCCTTCTCCAACGGTCTGCTTGCCCCCAACTGCACCCCGGCTCACTCCAAACTGCCTCCCCTCACTGTCCTGATCACCTCCTTCTGACTCCCATTGAGCGATGAGGGACTGAGGGCTGTTTTCTGGCCAACCACACCCCATTCAGGGTGGGGGTCCCTATTAGTGTGCCTGGCCAGCCTGGGTGAGGGACTGATGGCTGTTTGCAGGGTGGCCAAGTCTTGAGTGGAGGTTAGGGCGGTTGGGAAGCTTGACTTTCTCTATTGCTGGGGGCAACCCAAACCTCTTGCTTGCTCCAGCTCTGTGGCCACCGCCATCTTGGTTGGGCTAATTTGCATACTCCTGATGGCTGTGGGTGTAGTAGAGTGATTGTTAATTTGCATGTTTCTCTTTTATTAGTGTAGATAAATTTTAAATTAATTGTGATCTTTGTTTCAATTATCAAATCTCTTTCAAGATTGATTATAAAGTCTAATCATATTGCCAAAAATAATATCATATACTTGGAAGGTTAGATTTGATCCTCAAAGTGGCCTGAAAATAGTTTGCTTTTCACTAGACCCAGAAAACCCCACAAAATCATGCAAATCAAGAGACTCAAATTTTCATGTTCAGCCGGGACTGGTTTGGCTCAGTGGATAGAGCGTCGGCCTGCGGACTGAAAGGTCCTGGGTTCGATTCCGGGCAAGAGCATGTACCTTGGTTGCGGCACATCCCCAGTAGGGGGTGTGCAAGAGGCAGCTGATCGATGATTCTCTCTCATTGATGTTTCTTTCTATCCCTCTCTCTTCATCTCTGTGAAAAATCAATAAAATATATTTAAAAAAAAAATCTTCATGTTCATTTTAAGAACACCTGTAAAACTGCCCAGGCTACTAGGGCATCCATATTCAAAAAGCCACCAAGTATCTGAAAGATGTCACTTCACAGAAGTAGTGTGCCAGTCTGTCGTTACAATGGTGCTGTTGGTGGGTGTGCCGAGGAGAAACAGAGGGGCTGAATACAGGGTCGGTGGCCCAAAGAGTGCTGAGTTTTTGCTGCACATCTTAAAAATGCAGAGAGCAATGCTGAACTTTTTTTAAAAAAATATATTTTATTGATTTTGTACAGAGAGGAAGGGAGAGAGATAGAGTTAGAAACACTGATGAGAGATAGACATTGATCAGCTGTCTCTTGCACACTCCCTACTGGGGATATGCCCACAACCAAGGTACATGCCCTTGACTGGAATCGAACCCGGGACCTTTCAGTCCCCAAGCCAACGCTCTATCCATTGAGCCAAACCGGTCTTGGTGCAATGCTGAACCTAAAGGTTTAGATTTAGATTGTGGTCATTGAGCACATCTAGGTGAACAAAGCTCCCAGAACCTACAGAGCTCATGGGCGGATTAACCCACGAGTTCTCCCTGCTACATTAAGATGATGCTTAATGAAAAAGAGCAGATTATTCCCAAACCAGAAGAGAAGGGTGCACAGAAGAAAAAGATATTCCAGAAGAAACGAAAGAATCAAAAACTTATGGTCTGATAGTAAATTCAGCATAAAAAAAAAAAATTAGATTGGAGATTGGGCTATAAATTATGTAAATTGAAATGTTCTAATTGTTCTTGGGCTAGAGTTCTATTATTTTTAGTTTTATTGGATTGTAGACATTGCAATTATTTCTGCAGGTTTCCTGAATTTCTTGCAGTTTTTGCTTCATGAAATGTTAGTGCTAAGTTATTTAGTGCATGAGTCTTTATTACAATTTATTGTGGATTACAGCCTTTGGCAAATGGCTCTCCTTTTTTTTCTGTTTTACAACCTTTACCTTAAACTAAACCTGCTGAGATATCAATTTCATGACTTTTATGTTTCTTTAAGAAAATGTTTTTATTGATTTTAGAGAGAAAAGAACAAGACAGAGAAGGTGCAACATCCCTTGATGCTTACATTATACCAGGGGAAAGAGACAAGGAACAAGTAGATAAACCTACAGATTGTGGTAAGCGCTATCAAAGTGACTGCAGATCACTTGAGACCAGTGGGGAGCAGTGCTACTTCTGATGTAGTCTGAATAAACTCTCTGAGGAGGTGATATTAAAGTTAAAACAGGATGAGGAGCCATCCTCGATAAGAGCAAAGAAAAAAGTCCAGGCAGAATTCTGGTTTATGTAAGAAATCCAGGATTGGAGGAGTACTAAGAGATGAAGTGGCCAGATAGACAGGAGCAGATTAAGTAGGATTTTGCCTATTTAAAAGCTTTCTTAGAAGATTTTAAACATAAAAATGGTGAGGTCTGATATGCTTTAAAAGATAATCGGGCTGCTCTGTGGAAAATGGATTAGAGAAAATTTGGAGTAGAAGCAGGTTGGGCTTCAGCATGGTCTTGTCAATACTACTCAGAGTAAGGTCAGCAAACCAGTGGCTCTCTGAGAAATGTTTGTTTCTAGTCTGGAGATAACTGCAGAAATTGAGAGGAAATGTTTAGGAACTTTTGTAGCCATTTGGCATGGCTGCAACAGGATGAGATTAATGGGTTTATCTCACTAAACAGCTAAACAGGTTCTCTGCTGCCTGGCATGGTTAGTTTCAAGCGGCAAAGCTGCTTAAATGTATCAGTCACAATTCATTTCAAAAACTGTTCATTCACCAGAGTTTGAGAAGCACTGATCTCCATGATTAAAAACAGAAGTGGGTACAAATGTACAATGCCTATTAAATGTTATTTCAATCTCCACATATGAAATTTTGTGACGGTTCTTAGCATGATCATATATCATTTCATATTCAACAATGCCTAACATATCCTCTAAGAAGCAATAAATATCCTATACAATAAATTATCTTCTAGAAAGCAATCCTCTAACTCCAGTATACCAAAGGTATGCCTGAATATCCCAGGAATTAAAAACTATAGGTATGGTGGTTAAAGTGAGGTAGGTAAGTCATTCAAAAAACTCCCAAAACACATGAATTTTGTTAAATTAAAAAATAAAAAAGCCATTCTGAAAAGAATAAATCAAGTAAAAACAGCTTGGTTTCAATAGTAAGTACCTCCTTATAGTCTCCATTTCGGTTGAGTCTATATCCCTCAGGAGTATGAAGCTGAACAGTTGTATTATTGATCACTTCTATGCAACACTCTTGATCAGGAAAGCTCAGTGGGCGCACTCTACAGTATACCTGAAAATACAAGGAAGTGCTTAAAGAACAAAAGTTGACTTTTACCTGACTTTTCATTTAAGCTTCTTATTCATCCATTCAACAAATACTTGGTGTCTTAAATTAAGAGATCAATATAATAAACTTAGGGCTATGAATATGAAAACTTGTTTCCCAAGACTGTTAAATACAAACAGATATTAGACTGATAGGACAGCAGATTTTATTTTATTTATTTTTAAAGTATATTTTTACTGATTTCATAGAGGAAGGGAGAGGGAGAAAGAGATAGAAACATCAGTGACGAAAAAGAATCATCACTGCCTCCTGCACATCCCAACTGGAATCAATGAAACAATGTGTACTGAATGAACATGAATCAAACTATGACCTGCTGACACTCAACCATTGAGCCACACTGGCTGAGTGATATAAGAGAAGATTTTAAATGCACACAAATCTAAAACATTTTGGTAACAAAATCATCACATCCACAGCTTCTTTTCATTATTGTACTGACACAAATTTAATAAAGTTACACTACTAATTTAAAACTTTAAAAACCAGTAACATACCACACAATGAGAATTATTTGAAAATCTGTTCAAATTCTTTGGAATTAAATGTCAATATTGCCAGCTTAACCCTTAGTGTGTGTGGTTTTCTTAATCAATGAAAGTATTGAGGAAAAACTGTTCAGCTCTACTATGTGCAGAGTATTTGGTTCCTTCAGATCAAGAGATCTGAAGGAACCAAATACATTCTAGTAGCAGTGAAGGGGAAATTTAAAATATTCCAGAGCAGCCCGGTCAGCGTGGCTCAGTGGTCGAGCATCAAGCTTCTAGTAAGACATAAAAGGAATGAAGAAAGAACACACACAAATTCACAGGAAGGCCTTACCCCAACTGGGTCTTTAAGACTCGTTTGGGATCCTTTCTTCCCTACAGGTTTCCTGGGTGTCTTAGTCCTCCTGGTCATAGATTTAAAAAAAACACAAAGAAAAACATTTCAGTTCAACACTAACATTCAAATACCTCAACTATAATTCATACAAAGAAAAACTTCCAAGGTTTATAAATTATTCCTGAGCAGTTCCAAAACTCTACACCCTAAATAACTAATATGAGTAAGAATAAATTGCATTAGTAGTGTTTGTGACATGCATAATCCAAATATAATTAAAATTTGTGTTAGGAGACATTTTTGGTATTAAATGTACGTACTTCATAATTAAAATAGCTGGGATATTTTCTTGAGCGGCAATTTTACAGAGGCACAAGTTTGAAAAGTCTACTGATGAATGACCACACTTACCTTGAAACACATGTATGTTTGTGTGCACACACAAATTGAACCAACAGCCATTGACCAAGGTAGACTGACAAATGATTAACTTGAATAAATTAAAAAAAACAGGTGGAGCCGGGACCGGTTTGGCTCAATGGATAGAGCGTCGGCTTGGGGACTGAAGGGTCCCGGGTTCGATTCCGGTCAAGGGCATGTACCCTGGTTGCGGGCATATCCCCAGTAGGGGGTGTGCAAGAGGCAGCTGATCGATGACTCTCTCTCATCGATGTTTCTGACTCTCTATCTCTCTCCCTTCCTCTCTGTACAAAATCAATAAAATATCTTTAAAAAAAAAAAAAAATAAATAAAAAATAAATAAAAAAAACAGGTGGAGGAGAGATAGGAAGATGGCTTCCGAAAGGAAGGCAGGCTATAAGGTAGTGGGTGAGAGATGAACCTCTAGATCCCACTGTGCGTGTTTCTCCCTTCAGCCTGAATCACAGACCTCACCTCACTTCAGGTGAGTGTGTGGACATATGGGAAGTGTCTATTTGTGTGTGAGGGACACTTATATTCCAAGGACGGCTGGGGACTGCCGGACTGGGCACCCCTGACCGGACAGCCTCCACTGCCGCTGAAATCTCTCCCGGAGAGATTGGCTCTGCCACAAAGACTGTGCCATCTTGAATGGGAGAGTGGCTGTGATCGGAAGCCTAGCCTTACCTTCAACTGGGAAAAATTGGATACCTCCTGGGACCCTATAACCACAACACCCAGGGACCAGCAGCAAACCCACAAACACCGGGTCTCAAGCAGCACGAATACGCAGGACTCGAATGAGCTCTGCACCTGCTCACAGAAAGGTCAGATTTCGCTCAGAGAAAGGTGAAGTCTGTGATTCAGGCTGAAGGGAGAAACACGCACAGTGGGATCTAGAGGTTCAAAGGAAGTATGCGCCCCACAAAATCTGCAGACATTGGGGCCAGCATAGTCCACGAATGTGGAAAGGGGTCCACAGGGCTGCTGACACAAGGGAAGTCTAGAAATCAACTCATAGCTGGGCTGGACACAAAAAGGTAGGCTGAAGCTTTACCAGTAAACTGCTGCGCTGTGCCAGGGGGAAAAGATGTGCACAGAGATATGAGCAGAGTCGCGTGTAGTGCCAGGACAAAAAAGTCGCGAGTTCACGCACTTACTCTGGCTCTTTTTTCTCTTTAAATCCTTGCTTTTGATTATAAGCCCAGTACACAGAATCACCCAATTAAAAACACTCTCAGAGACTGCAAGGGAAAGTTATTTTTGTGGAACCTGGGGATCAGAGCGAGGAGAAAAGATCAGAAAACCAACTTTGGGGCAGTCCAAACCCCCAAACCAGTATTAAGTGCAGCAGGGAAAACAAATTCTGGATAGAGAGATCTTATAGCCCCAGATGTCAATACAGAAACACTGCCACCCAGGGGTTGAATCACAAACTGACTTTTGTGTAAATACAACCACAGGCAGGCTGAGTAACAAAGAAATACTGCCTGCTTGAAAACAAGATTGTACCTTACAACACAGAGGAGCTGTGGAACGCAGGGAACTTCAATACTATCCTGACTACCTGACAGGAAACAGGTGTGCCAAACAGAACAGTAGAGGAAGTAAGTGACCTTCACTAGTGCACATTTTCATTTTATCTTTTTTTTTTTTATATAAGTTTCATTTTATTTTCTCTTTATTTCATTTTATATTTTATTGATGTTTTACAACAACCCATTTACCATTGCACCAAAAAAATTAAGACATCTAGGGATAAACTTAACTAAGGACATAAAAAACCTGTGCTCGGAAAACTACAGGACAATGAAAAAGAGATAGAGGAAGACATAAACAAATGGAAGAGCCGGGACGGGTTTGGCTCAATAGATAGAGCGTCGGCCTGCAGACTGAAAGGTCCCAGGTTCGATTCCGGTCAAGGGCATGTGACTTGGTTGCAGGCACATCCCCAGTAGGGGGTGTGCAAGAGGCAGCTGATCGATTATTCTCTCTCATCGATGTTTCTAACTCTCTATCCCTCTCTCTTCCTCTCTGTGAAAAATCAATAAAATATATTAAACCCTCCCCCCCCCCAAAAAAAAACAAAAACAAATGGAAGAATATATCATGTTCATGGATTGGTAGAATCAACATCATTAAAATGTCCATACTACCTAAAGCAATCTATAGATTCAATGCAATCCCCATTAAAATACCAATGGCATATTTCAAAGATCTAGAAACAAACTCTACAAAAATTCATCTGCAATAAAAAAAGACCCTGAATAGCCATAGTTGTCCTAAGAAAGAAGAACAAAGTTGGAAGGATCACAATATCAGACTTCAAGCTATAGTACCAAGCCATGGTACTGGCATAAGAACCTGGTACTGGCATAAGAACAGACATATAGACGAATGGAACAGAATAGAGAACCCAGAAATTGACCTAAACCATTATGTTCAATTAATATTTGACAAAGAAGACTAGAGCATACAATGAAGTCAAAACGGTCTCCTTAATAAATAGTGCTGGGAAAATTGGTCAGATACATGCAAAAACTGAAACTAGATCATCAATTTGTACCATACACAAAAACAAACTCAAAATGGCTAAAGGACTTGAATATAAGATGGAAACCATAAAAACCCTACAAGACTCCATAGGCAGCAAAATTGCAGACGTGTTGCAGCAATATCTTTACAGACACAGATCCTAGGGCAAGAGAGACTAAGGAGAAATAAACAAATGGACTACATCAAAATAAAAAGCTTCTGCACAGCAAGAGGAACCATCAACAAAACAACAAGAAAGCCCACTACATGGGAGAACTTATTTACCAATGTCATCTCCAATAAGGGTTTAATCTCTAACATTTATAGGGAACTCATACAACTTAACTAAAGGAAGATAAACAATCCAATCAAAAAATGGTAAAGGACCTAAATAGACACTTTTTGAAAGAGGACATTCAGAAAGCCAAGATACATATGAAAAATGCTCAAAGTCACTAATCATCTGAGAGATGCAAATCAAAACAACAATGAGGTACCACCTCACACCTGTCAGAATGGCTATTATCAACAAATCAACAAATGACAAGTACTGGTGAGGATGTGGAGAAAAAGGAACCCTTGTGCACTGCTGATGGCTATGCAGACTGGTGCAGCCACTGTGGAAAACAGTATGGCATTCCCTCAAAAATTTAAAAATGGAACTGCCATTTGACCCAGTAATATCACTTCTAGGAATATATCCTAAGAAAATAGAAACATCAATCAGAAAGTATATATGCACCCCTATGTTCATTGTAGCACAATTTACAATATACAATAGCTAAGATTTGGAAAAAGCCTAAATGCCCATCAGCAGATGAGTGAATTAGAAAACAATGGTATATCTACACAATGGAATACTATGCTGCTATAAAAAGGGAGCAGCATGGATAGAACTGGAGAGCATTATGCTAAGTGAAATTAGCCAGGTAATGAAAGAAAAATACCACATGACCTCACTCATTTATGGATAATGAAGAACATTATAACCTGTTGAACTAAAAGATAGATACAGAGGCAGAGCAGCATCGAACAGACTGTCAAACTACAGCAGGAAAGCTGGAGAAGGGGGCAAGGTAAGAGATAAACTGAAGGATTTGTATGCATGCATATAAGCATAACCAATGAACACAAGATACTGGGAGGTGGGGGTGAGGGCATGTGCTAGGGAGTAGGGGAGGCTGGGAGAAAGTCAATGGGGTGGAAAAAGGGAGACATGTGCTACTATTTGTAATACTTTAAATAATAAAATACACACACACACACACACACACACACACACACACACGGAGTGGCCAGATTATTATGATCTCTGAATGTATAATAATCTGGTCATTCAGTGTATATATACACACACATATTAGAAGCCTGGTGCATGAATTCATGCCTGGGTACCGGGGTCCAGCCAGCCTGGCCAAGGGGAGGGGACATGGGTGGTTGGCTGGCCTGCCTGCTGGTCAAAGGGACAATTTGCATATTAGCGTTTTATTATATAGGATATACATTTTAAAAAAAACACACAAAACACAAACGGAGGAATCCATGCTTTCATCAAGATTTATGTCTATACTTTCAGATCACCAAATTCTTAAAATGTAACATCCTTTGTCCCCCAAACATAATGTGGTCCCCAAAGTGTTATTTCTTGTTCTTAAGTAATGTAACACACATAACGGGCCTCAAATGGAGCCACCTGTGCTAAACTGACATCACCAAACCAAGACTTAATACCTAATTGCAGTTTTGTCTCTCCCAGGAATGTAATCTCAGCCAGTCTGTATGGAATTTCTTGGTCAGCATTAATGAGGTAAACCCCTTCATAGATTCCTGTGGTTCCCCTCAAGGGAAGGTGCCTGCTCTTTGCTTCTTCCTGCCCTTTTCTGCTTATAAAACTTTCCCATTTTGTCCAGTTCCTCAGGTCTTTCCAGTTGTTAAATGATTATCGCCCTCCACCCGCTCCAATTCACCAACTGTTGAGTAAAGCCCATAAGATTTTTATAATTTCCTCAGCTGAAAAAAAAATTTTTTTTTAATCAATAGGAACAATAGAAAAAGCTAATTTTGATTTATTTCACTATTTCTCTGAGGATGCCCACCCCCTCTCCCACTCCAATCTATCTATGGGCTGGATGAACACTTACCACTAAAATTACCTGAAATGATTGGCTTGGGCTACAGATTATGAAAATATTTTATCCACATTTTCCCAAATGAAAGAGAAGCAAAGTGTTTTAAGTGCAACATATTATGACAGGTTTACTTAAGATTACACGTGTTTAAAAAAAAAAAAAGAGATTTTGACTTTGGCCTCTTTAAGAAAACAAAGTTGCCTTTTGCAAATGATACCAATGATAAAAACCGACCCTCGCCCTTGCACAATTCTTCATTTACCCAGCAGCGGCCACGGAATTCCGCTGCGTGGAAACGGCCCGGATTTAGGGAGGAATGTGGGCGGGCACGTCTGCGGCCAGAGAAGAACCGGGTAAAGCAACGCGTCTCCCCCCGGGCTGGTCCGGGCCCGGGCCCGGCGCTGGCGGGAGAAGCGCACGCAGTGCCCACCGCTGCCAGGGCTCTCCAGGGCCTGGGACCACCTACCCAGCCCCCACCCCAGCCCCCCCACCCGGCCCCACCCCCGACACCACCCGCACTCACTCCGCACAGTGCAGCCTGAGAGCGCGGGCGGCAGGAGGGGAAAGAGGAACTTTGGAAAGGGCTGGCGGGGGCGGCCCGGGGCCGGGGGCCCGCCGCCCAGCTAGCGGGCACCGGCGGGGTGGCACACACCAACCCCACTCCCCCGCCGTGGGGCCGACCTCCCCAGCCGGGGCCCCGCGCCGCACCGGGACGTAGGGTCCGCGGCGGCGGGAAGAGACGCCCGTCCCATCACCGCGACCGACCAGCCCCGCTGCCCCGGACTCACGCTGGCTTCATGGCAGCAAGCTGCGCGCTGCCCAGACGCGCACGCGGGACGCCGGGCTCGACGGGGAGGCCCGGCGAGGAAGGAGGGTCGCCGAAGAGCGCCGAGGGAACCTGGACGCGGGAGCCGCGGCGCTGCTGCGCTCAGGGGAGCCGGGCGGCGCGACGGGAGCCCAGGTGAGCTTGCGCCCGGCGCATTTCAAACGGGCCAATCAGTGCCGCCCACTGGGAAGGGGCGGGGCTTCCGGGGGCGCGCCGGCTCGCGCTGCCGGAAGTGGCGCGGTCTCCGGGGAGACTGACGCGCGGAAAGGGTGTGGGGAGTCCCGGAGGCTACGCGGCGGCGCCGGAGCCCGGACTTTTTAAATATGAAATACAGTTTCCCTCCATTTCCGATGAGGAAACTGACGGCCTGTTTTCCTACCGCACAAGACGCCCAGTGGCAGAGCCTGTCCAGGTTTGATTCAGAAGTCTGCGCTGTCGCTCCGGCCCGGGAGGGTTCTCTTCCGCCCAGCGCCGTCTCCTGCTCCCTCTCTGGTTTTCCTATCGCCACACCAGCCTAACACTTCCTTTCTCTCTTCTTCGTCACCTTTCATGGGCTCTCCAGCTCTTTCATTTATATGCACTGTTTTATCGAACTCTTAACAGTGTTTGATCCTGGGCAGACAGAAATGAATACATTTTGATCCTCAAGGAACGTCCAGACCACTCTTTTCTAGGATGAACTAACTGATTTTCATTCCGATCTCTGTCCCTAAACGGTGACTATCAAAGATACTTTTTATCTGTGCTCTCATAGAACTCCACTTTCTACAGGATCAGACACCAGTAAGGATAGACATAATTAATATCCTTAGCCCATATTTTTCTACACAAAAATGGTTCTAATCTTTGCCGTTTCATAGTTACAGTGGATTCATCATTTTACACAATGCAAGTAAATCTTGAAGATAAATTTCTAGAAGCGTAATTGCTGTGTCAGAGTGTATGCATGGGTAAACATTACCAAATTGTCCTCCTTAAAGGTTGTCCAAATGTACAATCGCATCAGGCATGTAGGACAGTGCCTGTTTCTCCACAATTCTCAGACAACAACGTTGATCTAATAGGTGAAAAAAAAATCATGATATGGTTTACATTTTCCCCCTTATGATGAATGAGGTCGGTGTCTGTTTAAATATTCAGAGCCATTTGTGTTTTCTTCTTTTCATCTCCCTTGCCTCCTTGTTCTACTGAGTTGTTTATTTTTTTATTTTTTTATTTTTAAATATATATTTTATTGATTTTTTACAGAGAGGAAGAGAGAGGGACAGAGAGTTAGAAACATCGATGAGAGAGAATCATCGATCAGCTGCCTTGCACACCCCCTACTGGGGATGTGCCCGCAACCAAGGTACATGCCCTTGACCGGAATCGAACCCAGGACCTTTCAATCCGCAGGCTGATGCTCTGAGTTGTTTATTTTTTCTTATTGAATATATTAAAGAAATTGATCCTCATCCAAAATATGAGTTCAAAAAGTTTAATAGTTCATAATTTAGTTTTTATTTCATTTATGTTTTGTGACAGATTAGAAAAATACTTAAGATAGTCAAATTTATCAGACTTTACTGTCTTCTGTTTTGTGTTATGCTAGGAAGTCTTTCCCAACTAAGATAATTAAAAATTTATATATATTTTATTGATTTTTCACAGAGAGGAAGGGAGAAGGATAGTTAGAAACATCAGTGAGAGAGAAACATCAATCAGCTGTCTCCTGCACACTCCCCACTGGGGATGTGCCCGAAACCAAGGTATAAGCCCTTGATTGGAATCGAACCTGGGACCCTTCAGTCCGCAGGCGGACGCTCTATCCACTGAGCCAAACCCGTCAGGGCTAAGATAATTTTTTTTAAGTATTGTATTTTCTAGTGTTTTTTTTAAAATATATATTTTTATTGATATCAGAGAGGAAGGGAGAGGGAGAGATAGAAATATCAATGATGAGAGAGAATCACTGATCAGCTGGCTTCTGCTCACCCCGCACTGGGGATCAAGCGCACAACCTGGGCATATACCTTGAACAGGACTTGAACCATGATCTCCTGTTTCATAGGTCGACGCTCATCCACTGAGCCATACCTGCTAGGCTCTAGTGCTTTTATTACTTTGGTTTTTTTTTTTTTTTGTTTAAATCTTTGAACCATTAGAATTTCTTTTTGTAATCAAATGAGAGGTTGGAATCTGTATTATTTAGGAATTGGGCTGGACTGTTGGCTTACCTCTTAGTTACTCTGCAGCCTGGCTTTGGCTTCACGTTCTCCATTGGAACTCTTCTGACCAAGATTACCACCTCCTTCATGCTGAATCTCACTGAGCCTTCCCCACCCTTATCTTACTTGACCTCTCAATAGCATTAAAAATATTTCTCATTCATTTTTTCCTATGCTTTTTTCCCCCCTAGCTCTCTAGCCCATTTTTCTTAGCCTCACTTGTGAGTTCTTTTTTCTTCCTTAAATGTTGTTACTTAAGGGTTTTTTTACCTGGTTACTTCCTGTGCCCTCTTTCAGGCACTCCCAACCACGCCCATGGCTTCACCTTCCATTCACATTTGCTCTTCTGAGCTCCAGAGTCATGTATCCAACTGCCTTATGAATTCTGCACTTGTATGTCCCACAGGCATCTCATACCTCACACATCCTAATCTCTTTCCCTGAACTTGCTCCCCCTCAGTGGATGACATCACCCTCTACCCACCCACCCAAATCAGAGTCCAAGGTACCGTCTTTGACTTTTGCCTCCCCACTCTATTCCAATATTTAATTACCAAGTCTTGACAGTTCTACCGATAGCCTTCAAACCTCTCCACTCTCTTCACCTCGTTGGCCACTGCCATCCGTCATCTGGATGATCTCACCATTACCCTAACAGGCCTCCTGGCTACCACCCTCCCATCCAGGATCCATTCTGAGGCAGCTTCCCTATAAATCACAGCTCTGATCATGCCACTCCTGCGCTTGTAAAACTGCAGTAGCTCCCATTGCTGCAGACCCTTAGCAGAGGCTCTTCCTCTTCAAGCTCATCATCTATCATTAACCCCTGCACCACTACCTCCAGCCATGTTGACCTTTGCTGTCAAGCTCTCCTTCTTCCCTTCCTCTGACAATGTCTCCTTATCCTCAGTTCTCAGCAGGTCTCCTGCCATCTCCCCTGCTCTGGATGCTGGTCCTCTGCACTTCCCAGTCACTGCACCTGCTAATTTGCTTTGGCACTCACTTCACAATTTACAATCTTTATTACTGTCTCTTCTCCATTTTATCCCTACATCTTAGCACTAGATGGCACTGTTGCACCCCGGTGCCCAACAATTGAGCTACTCCATAAATGTTGAGAGGGAATGAATGAATCCACCCTTTTAGAGAACACCCTAGGCAAGGACCTAGGCAAATCGCACCACTCCCAGCTTTTTTTCTGGCCAGTTTTTATCCTCCTCCCTCACTTCTACCATATTAAGCTCTATGGCTTATTCTTTTTCTTTAAAATGCCAATTCATTATATCATTTCTCAGGGTATCCCACAGGTACCTCACACCTAACACATCCTCATCTTTTCCCCCAGAGGGCTCCCATAACCAGTAAAAGAGCTGCATTTCCCGCCCTAGAATTAGAGATCCAGACCAGACGTGAGGGTAAGAGGGAGTAGACTTGGGATGCTGGGTGTTTGTTTGTTTTTTAAGTCATTTATTAAGGTATAAATTACAATAAAAGTCAACCTTTTTAGTTGAACTGTCTACATATTTGTCAAACATATACCATCCTGTAACCACTGCCACAATCCTATATAATAAGAGAGAAATATGCAAATTAGGCCAGGATATCACTACCAGCTCAGGAGGCTGCATCACGACCAGCTTACAGCACGCCCCTACTCCAGCAGACACACACCATACACCAGGGCTTGGGGCAGGCTCTGAGCAGCCGTGGCCCTGGCACTACCCAACTCTAAGGCCACTCGTACCAGGGGTTCGCAGGCAGGCACACACACTGGGCTGCCTGCCCTGGGAGCCTTCCTGCCCTGAAGCAAGGCCCCCAGCAGACGCATGAACCCACCCAGGGGGGGCGTGCTCCGAGCCACACCATGGCCAGCATCAAGGTCCCCAGCAGACCTGCCCAGGGGAGCGGGCCTAGCCATTGTAGGACATCCCCTGAGGACTCCCAGACTGTGAGAGGGGGCAGGCTGGGCTGAGGGACACCCACCCAGTGCACGAATTTTATGCATCAAGCCTTTAGTCAAATATATAAAACTAGAGGCCTGATGCACAGAATTTGTGCAAGGGGCTCTTCCCCTGCCTGAGGTGGCTTCATCCAGAAGGAAGGACATCTGGTCTAATTAGCATCATAGATTCCCATCACATAAAAATTCCCTGTAGTCAATCACTCAACTTCTTGAGTTTTATCTTTTCCAGAATGTTTCTTCTTTAACTCAGCATAATGCTTTAGAGGTTTCCCCATGTGTTGCATGTACCAGGAGTGCATTCCCTTTTATTTTAGTAGTATTCCATTGTAAGAGTACATGACAATTTATTCATTCATTCGTTTGATGGACATTTAGGTTGTTTCCCCTTTTTGGTGATTATGAGTGAAACTAGTATAATTACTTGTATAAAGGTCTTTATGTAGATGTGTGTTTTCATTTCTCTTGGATGGGATTACTGGTTTTGTGAGTGTAACTTTATAAGAACCTGCCAAACTGGACTGGGTCTTATATAAATCACTGAAGGGGAGCTGACACTACACAAATTTGTTACCATAATGAATCCAACCTCCCACCTAAGTAAGTCCAGCTTCAGGACCCGAATGAACACCAATGACCAGACCTGTAGAAGCCCAGAGTTTTGAGGGAAGGTGATAAAATGGAGACAGGACCTCTGTCGGAGCTGGTACACCCAAGGGAGAGAGTCCTCTCCCCTCCCCACGCTGTTCACTCAGTGGCCTTGGAGCCATCATCTCACATTCCCAGGCCATTTATAAAATGAATGATTGGAAGTCAATGTTTTATGTACTCAGAAAACAAATTAATAAAGTCAACAAGCTTGGGGGGAAGCTGTAAAATTAATAGAAAAAGAGACAAATGATCTGAAGCACATTTCATATGAATAACATACACAGAAAGGGGCTATAACTAACCCAAGTAATGAAGACTATTCACTATGTGCCTTCAGGCTGAAGACAAAAAGATCTTGAAACTTATATTGAATTCTAATCAGTAGGCTTTTTTCAGAGATAGGTCCATAGTTTTGAAACGGCAATGTGTACATTCTAGGACTGAGCAAAGAGGTACACGTATTGTGGATAACGGGAGCAGTTTCTGTTGCGCTGTATGAGTTCCAAAAGGGGAAGGCTGAAACGTGCCTGGGGATTCTTTGTTCCATTTGGCAACATTTTTCTAAGGAAAAAAATTATGTTAAAAAAAATAATGGACTCAGTTCTTCTTTGTGGGGAAGCATTTTACATAATTAAATACATTTTTGAAAGGTTGGATTAAAATGTCTTTGAGATCCCTTGCCTTGGAGGATGCAAAAGATAAGCCAGCTTTAAAATCTGTTGCTGAGATGAAGAGAATATGTGTGACAACTCTCTTTGTCTGAGGTATATTTATTACAGACTTGAAGCATTCATACAAATACCGAGGGGGCATATGAAAGCCCCATTCGCAATCTCCCAGGAAGAACATTCAGAAGAAATTTGCAGAGTTCTTTAAAAAATCAAGTCATTCAGACATTTTCTAGATGTTACACATTTCAGGCATCAGTGGCCAGATTTCCATCCTTCCACAAGGACAAGTGCCTACTGGCCTTTGCAATTCCTATTACCTTGACCTGAAACACCTCCTCCCCACACTGGCACAGCTGGCACCTTTCTGCCCATCAATCAAGTCTCTTCTCAAATATAAGCTTATCAGAGTGGTCATCCACTCTCACCTATTCCTTCACTAAGCTTATCTTCTTTCATTAAAAAATTCATTTTTATTGATTTCAGAGCGGAAGGGAGAGGGAGAGAGAGGAACATCAATGATGAGAGAGAATCATTGATCGGCTGCCTACTGCGTACCGCCTATTGGGGATTGAGCCTGCTACCTGGGCATGTGCCCTTAATCGGAATCAAACCTGGGACCCTTCAGTCCGAAGGCTGATGCTCTATCCACTGAGCCAACCCATCTATGGCTGGGCTTATTTTCTTTATTGCACTTACCATTACCTGAATTTATCTTGTCTGGATGACTGATCAGAACATCAGATCCATGAAGAAGGGACAGTGTGGATTTTGTTCTCTTCTGTGTCCCAGTTCCTAGGACAATGTTTGTTCTATATATACCAGGTACTAAAATATTCATCAGATGATTTAGCAATGCACTCATGTACAGGAATCTATTTCTCATGATAAATTAACATGTTTGTAGTATGGTGGTTGAAATAGAACCAAACCAAGTGGGAAATAGGACAACTGTATTATAATAAATAAACTTTATTTATTCCACACAATTTAAGAAAACCATACATTGGAAGAATATCTCTGAGCTTGGAAATGGGTCTTTGTCTTTTCATTCATATGGATTGTAGATTAGAAAATCAGAGGCTAGCGTTCAACAGTTATGTCATAACATGTTTTATAGTGTTGATAGGTGTTTCATGTATGAAGGGCATCATGGCTAAAACAAATTTGGAACACAGTAGATCCAAATGAAGTGCTTCTCCATCGTACCTGGCAATACCATTCTGCTCTACTGCCTTCCTCAGAACCTCTCACATGAGCAGGATTCCACAGAAAACACTTTGAAAATTAACAATGGCAAACTCATTTCTTGAACAAAGAAGATGCATCATAACTCTCTAAAAATTGAGCAATGGAAAATGGAGCTCTACAATGAATAAAGGGGAAATACAATTGACTAAATGGTCTCATTCAAACATATTAATGTTTTATCACAACTATAATGTCTGATATGTTTTAGAGTTATGATCTCAAGCAGGGGGAGGGGGAAGAGGGACATTCCATTGGGATTGTACCCACCCCTACCTAATCCCTTTTGAGACAGGGTTAAGGTGAACAGTTGACACCCATGGGAGTTTGGCACATCTCGACAGTGTACTGAGACATTAAATTTTTTTGAGAACTACATTAAAAAGCATCTTCCCAGTGAGGTCTTCAACTGACCCACTGCCAACCTTTCTAACTTTCTGGAATAACTTAGGCAAAACTATCAAACTTAATACTGATAATTCATATATTTGAATTCATTTTCACTACACATTAGAAGCTTCCAAATCAGTGTACTACAAATTGGCATAAAATTTTAATTTGTAATACTGTCCAAAAACATACAATGGGACTAAATTTACCAAAGTTATAAAACCATTATGAAACGCTTGATCGTATTTTGTTGATTTAACATTTCATTTTTATCATTAAGCATGACAAAAGTAACATAACCAAAGATTAAGTCATCTAAAAGCTCTTCATATTAATCATCCAGTATTTTCCAACTATTTCTAAGCTAAAGAACATGATTTTATTGTGATAAACAGAATTTGAAAACCTTCATGTCTTGGGCATTACTAAAATAGGGTATTTAAATGTACCTTTTTTTTTTCACTATAAAATTGAAGTTACAGTAAGATGAAATGGAAGCCCATTTGCCCTGCTAGAATACAATGTCTCTAATGATTTCAGATTGTTGCTAAAAAACAAATTTTGTCATGTAGTTTGCAATTAATGTACCAAAAATTTACCAGCCCATATAATTTTATCAGTCTGTTTCTCCAGAGGAAGCAAACAGATAATTAAACTAATGAAATCATATTTCCTGACCATTATCATCCAATATCAATTGTTACTTGTCCTCAAGAGGATTACCTGGGCCAGTAAAACACAAAGGCAGTATTCTAAGATAGAAGGTGTTCCTGAGTCAGCAAAGAGAATTCTGCATTGTAGACAGCCCCTTAAGTCATTAGCAAGTGCAGATCAGGGGCTGATAGGCCTGTGTTAACAATTGCTTCGTGTCAGCATTTCTGTATGTCTGAAAATACCACAAAAGGTTGAACTTTAATTAGTAATGCAACAGATGAGAAAATGCTCAGTGTTTTAGGACTGTGCAGAGTAGAAAGCTGGGAACACATCCTCAGGTGGTGAGTTGCTGAAAATTACATCAATGGAAACAAAGCTGATAAGCCTAGTGGCTTTTGGAATTCCTGACACCAGCATTTCTTCAAGTTTGGCCCATGGTCCCTCTGCATTAGAATTCCAGTGCAGATACCCTCTCCGAAACCTACATTTTACACTGGTAAACCAGAATCTCCTGGTCTCCCTGGGAATTTCATTGGCCACAAGCTCACCATATGTTTTAGGTTCTCAGGAAAGCTTGAAAAAATCGCATATGACCAAGCCTTTGGCAAGGTTAAGCATCCTCTGCACATAAACACTAAAATTTGCAGTGTATTTGAAATGCTGAAGCAACAGCAAATGCATGACACCCCTAAATACAGTGCTGCCATTGATTTAAAATGTGACAAATGAACCCAACCAACAGGGATTAACTTGGCCAACTCCCACGGTGTGCCATGTTTTACCGGTGCTGCATAATACTTTGCAGAATCAAACTGGCAACAAGAAAACAGAGCAAAACAGGACATATGGCACGCAGCCATAGGCTGTGAACTTTTAAGAAAATCCTAATCCACATTCCCAAATCCAATTCTACTGACATGGAATTTGCACTTTGAAGCAGAATGGACTTGAAGAAAAAAGAGGGCGCTCTTTCTATTCATTCCTTTCAGTAGGTGGGAAAAGAAAGAAGAGCCCTCCTGAAACCAGTCCCCAGGACTCCCACAGACCCAAGTTCCTCTTTCTGAGCCCTCCCTCCTCCCCCTACCTTCCTGGCTTATATTCCTCCCACTGTGGGGGCTCTTGGGGATTGGAGAGGCATTTGCTACATGAAACTCATCAAGTTCCATTTTAAAAGAGTAAATACTGCTTAAACAGGATCACAAAACTCATTTTAAATAAATTTAACTTAATTAAATATTAATAATTTGCCTGAATAAGGACTTGCTTGAACCCTTTCCCCCTTTAAAATCACACATACAGAATCAGTGCACAGCTAGAGAAATTTCCCCAGTTAAATATCTTGTTGATATGAACCCATTCAAAAATGCCAAGACGCCAATCATTATGAATATCTTAGACCACTGTAAACCAGTAACCATGCCACTGGCTTATGGTGGTTAGGATGTTGTAGCTTAATGTTGACATCTGGCACAAAAAAGCTTAGGGTCTGAATCATGTTTCTTTTTTATGTAATTCTGGCTCAGGCATCCGATACAGAGCAGATGAGAAATAAATTATGTTGATGAGGCTGAAGATGAGGCACAGAAGTATGGCTCCTGCTATCTGAGGGAAAGACAGGGCCCTGGCATTGGCAACGAGCCATTCCTTCCTCAGAGTCTTGTCCAGAAGTATGGCTTCCATCTGCATGTGCGTAGCCAGGATCACACACACGTGGAACAGCTGGTGACTGTGACCTACAGCAAATATACAAAAGGCCATCAAGATCAGCAATAAAAAAGGAATGACATGCTGAGTGAAAGAAGCCAGACACAAGGGACACATATTGTATGACTGCATTCATGTCACTTGTCCAAAAAAGGCAAATCTATAGAAACAAAGTGTAAATTAGTGGTTGCCCTGGGCAGGGGGTGGGAGTGAGGATGAATAGTATATGGGCATAAGGGATCTTACTGGGATGATAATATCCTAAACCTCATTTATAGTGATAGTTGTGCAAATTGATAAATTTACTAAAAGAAGCATTAAGTTGTACACTTGAAATAAGGGAATTATGCTATATGCAAAACGTGCTTCAATAAATTAATATTTAAAATGTAATGTAAGGAAGGCCCTAGCCAGATTGGGTCAGTGGATAGAGCATCAACCTGCAGACTGAAAGGTCCCGGGTTCATTCCAGTCAAGGGCACATGCTGGTATTGCTCAAGCCCCAGTAGGGGGGCCTTCAGGAGGCAACCTAAAAATGATTCTCATCATTGATGTTTCTATCCTCTCTCCCTTACTCTCTGAAATAAAATGTAATGTGAGAAAAAGAAAAAGGCCATCAGAGTAAACCAAATTCACCAATCTAGGTTTTCACATGAAAAGGCATCATGTTCTGCCAGAGGTCATCTCTTTTTCTCTTTTTAAAATATATTTTTATTGATTTCAGAGAAAGGAAGAGAGAGGGTGTGGGGGAGAGAAACATCAGTGATGAGAGAGAATGATTGATCGGCTGCCTCCTGCATGTCTCCTACTGGGGATCGAGCCTACAACCCAGGCATGTGCCCTGACTGGAAATTGAACTGTGACCTCCTGGTATGAGGTCACACTGAGCCACACCAGCTGGGCTTGAGGTAATCTCTTATGATCCAGTGCCGATGAGCTCAGATTCCAACTTCAGTGCCCAAGGTGAAGCCAGCCAAAGTCTCTGTTGGCCATTTATAAGGTGGTCCACTTCCTATTGCTGGTCAATCCCAGACATGACCAGGAGTTCTTCCTCCCCATGACCTGCAGGATCCCAGCGCACCAGAATGCATCCACATGTGGGGAGCAGGGCAGGGTGCTCAGTAGAGTGGGTAGGGACATTCACATTGTTTGGTTGGTGAGAAAAGGAGTCCATTGCCCAGGGCTGGGTCCTGCTTTGGGGGACAACTTTCAGAAACCAAAAGTAAGATGAGAAGACCACATGTGTCATGGTTGATGTGTCTCCTCTTCCAAATTCATATGTTGCATTCTTAAGCCCAGTACCTCAGAATGGGGTCATATTTGGAGATGGGGTCTTTTAGAGACAATGAAGTTAAGCTGAAGTCACCGGGGTGGGCCCCAGTATAATCGGTGTCCTTATATGAGACAAGGAGAATAGGACGTGGACATGCACACACACAGAGGGAAGACCACATGACAGGAGACTGAAAGATGGCAGCCCCTCGGAAGATGGTGTGTTTCAAGGTACCGCTCCTGCCTCACTCCGTTATACTAATGGGCTGTGTACAGTTCCCAAAATCTGTGGGCGATGTGCTCAATAACAGAGGCTCAAACCTGTCTCCATGAGGACAGGACATAAAAAGACGCAAGAGCCCTGCACATATGTGGAATGTGGCTGCAGCAGGAAGAGTGGTTTCAGCAATCCCACCAGACGGGAACAGGAAGGAGCTTCCTGTGGGCAAACGCTAACCAAGCCGGCCCAGCCCTTCCCACTCGGGTGGTTAGATAGGGGGTACCATACCCAGCAGAGATTTAATGATCTGTCATTAACCGCTGTCTGGCAAATTTCTCCCCCATAGGTGTGTCTTTCTGCTCTGAACGGGACAGAGATGAAAAAAATGTTATTAAAGAAGCCAGGGAGTTGACAAAATAAGGGCCAGGGCTATTTTTCCTGCAGCGCCCAGACTTCATGAACAATTCCCTCTACTTCATCCAGCTGGGGCTGGGAGGTGAATGTGGTTGGTGGGTTCCCGTAGGCAGGTACCCCCTGGCCCTGTGGTCTCCCTCCTTTTTTGAAATCTGCCCGTTAAGCATTTTGCTTGTAATTCCTCTAGCACAGTGGTCGGCAAACTCTAATTAGTCAACAGAGCCAAATATCAACAGTACAACGATTGAAATTTCTTTGGAGAGCCAAATTTTTTAAACTTAAAACTATATACTAGGTAGGTACGTTGTTATTAGCTTATGTAATTAGGGTACTCCTAAGCTGGGGCCAAAGAGCCGCCTGTGGCTTGCAAAGCACAGTTTGCCGACCACGGCTCTAGCAGGGCAGAATAAATGATCACGGCTCTAGCAGGGAGATGAAACTCTAATGAGAACGAACAAAGTAAATCTTGCCATGTGACCTAGGTGGTAAGAGATGGAAAGTTATAGACAAAATGCGCTTGGCAACAAACGGGTTCCTCTCACCACAGGGAGACAAGGATGACCTCTTGGTTTCCAAATAGCTTATCTGAGGAGCTGTCCTCCCAGCACACATCAGCCTCGCCAGAAGTGGTCAGGGGCCTCCAGCCAGTCCCAGAGCCAGGGTGGGGGTGGCCTTCTGCAGTGCCTGCCCACTTCTACCAGCAGGGGTAAACCCGTGGCTCCGACACCTCCTGGCCACGTCACTTCTCTAACTTTAGTGAGCTCAGGCTCACCTAGAGAATCACACAGCCTCCGAGTGAGTGCTGAGCCCCACCCCCCCAAGTTTCTGGTGTAGGGCCCGAGAATCTGCATGTTCCCAGGTGATGCTGAGACTGTTGGTCTGGGCACCAAACCTGAGAGCCACCCCACTACCCTGACTCTGATCCCATCGCACCCAGCTGAACAAGACAAAGGCAGACACATTCCCCTCCTGGGCTCAGCCCTGCTCAGCAACTGCTCCCTCAGAGCCATGTGCACCCAGTCTTCCTTCGTCCTCTCCAAGGATGCCCTCAGTGGCCATTTAATAGTGGGATTTCGTGTTCTAGGTGATACTAGGACTACCCTGGCCTCATACCCCATAGGAATGCATTAGAATCTTAGACCTACCTGCTCTCCCATCCTCCCTGGCCATTCACTGGCTACATATGTACATCCTGGCCCCATTAACTCACTGTTTCACACACCTTGGCCAGCACCTGAGAGGTGCTTCTCTCCCTGCCCTGGCCTCCCCGCTCTGGCTGCATCACAGGAGTCAGGTATGGAGCCCTCCCCGGCTGGAGGGCAGGGGCAGCAGAGCCATTGCACGCACACTCACCGATGTAGTCGAAGCATCCCGGGGCCAGGCGCTCCGGCAGGTGTGCGGAGTAGAAGAAAGTGGCCAGGAGAGTCATGACCACGTGCTTCTGGTGGTACAGGGTGACCTCGTTCTGTGGACTCTCCCCTGGGAACAGGAATACCTGCAGGGATTTAAAAGAAATATCAGTTTCTGAGAGGAGGCCCTTCTCCCGGTCATCGCCTGCAGACACCTTGGCGCACACGTGGGGACTTGGGCCAGGGCCCTCACCTCCTCGGGGCTGCGGCTGGGAAAGGGACCGCTTAGGGGCTGTGTGAGCGGAGTTCCTATTCTGAGAGGGCTCAGCTGAGACCCAAGGTGATTGTATCTTAATCCCCCAAATGTTTATGAGAGCCATTTGGGTTATTTAACTTAGAAAAAGAAAAAAGGTAGTTAGGAAAGGAAAAGAAAAACCCTATTAGATTCATTCCTGCTCTTTTTCCCGGATGGAGGTAACATGTAAGCATAGTAAAAAGTGATCATTTCACACTCGAACTCATTTCTCACCAGCACGTCCTCTGAACCGATGCTCCTTATTAAGACTTTAAGGCCTAGTAATCCCTCGAAGGCCTTCTGAGTCATCAAAAAGTATTCATTACGGCCACGATACTGTTTCAGAGTTAAGAGCAGTTTCTGTTATTGTTCTGAATAAAGACAGCAGCCACCACCTTCAGAGGGCACGAGGCCAGGCTTTTGCATCATTCCACGGGCACCTCAACAACTGCCGTAGGCAGACTCTACTTCCCCGTTTTGCAGGTGAGGAAGCTGGGCTGGAGGGTGACTTGCAAACCACTAGTTAGAAGTGGTCTGGATCCAGGCAGGCTGATTCCAGAATCCGTGCACCCGTCAATGTCACCATGTAGGTTAGACCTCCCATCCCTCTGCCCACTGCCGCAGTGTGCCAGAAGCACACAGAACCTGTGCTGCGTATGATTTGGTGGCATGTGGAAGTGAGGTGGTCCCTCTGCTCTAATTTCATGTGTGTGGTCTGTGACCCCAATGAAGGAGTGGAAGAATGGGTTGCACCCCTAATTCTAGGTCTCCCAACAGGCCCATAGAGGCCAAGCACAGAGCACGTGGTCAGTGCTCCGGCTGGGGGAGCCAGGTCGGCCCCTCCCCTTCGCTCCTTAGCCCTGCTACCTTGTTGGCAGGCATCAGACCCCAGCTGGCACTGGGCGGGGCATGCCACTCACTGGGCGCTGACCATGTGCCAGGCATTACTGAGCCTGGCAGGTCTGTTTTTTGTTTGTTTGTTTGTTTGTTTCTTAATTAATTCCCTCTAACCCCCTGTGAAGGAGGGGATGCTAATCCCAGGCCCAGGTGCGGAAACTGAAGCTCAGAGAGGTGTGTCTAAGGCCACACAGCCAGTGAGCAGCGGGACTAGGACTTGAACTCAGGCCCGCCTGTTTTGAGAGTTGCATGGACTTCCTTCCTGTCTTTCTTCTTACACCCTCTTCTTCTTCTTCTTCTTTTTAAAAAATATATTTTATTGATTTTTTACAGAGAGGAAGGGAGAGAGATAGAGAGCTAGAAACGTCGATGAGAGAGAAACATCGACCAGCTGCCTCTTGCACATCCCCTACTGGGGATGTGCCTGCAACCAACGTACATGCCCCTGACCGGAATCGAACCTGGGACCTTTCAGTCCGCAGACCGACGCTCTACCACTGAGCCAAACCGGTTTTGGCTTACACCCTCTTCTTGTTCTCCATCTAATTCCTATCTCTCAGACCTTCATTCATACTTTTCCCATCACTACTGATAATACATTAACTGATGATAATATACACTGAATGGCCAGATTATTATGATCTCTGAATGCATAATAATCTGGCCACTCAGTGTATAATAATGCTTTTTTTGGACTTCTGCCACCATTTCATGTAATCCTCCCACAGCCTGATGAAAGGAGGTGTTATTACCATGCCCATTTAAAGATGAGAAATCAAGGCACAGAGATGATAGATAACTTGTCCAAAGGCTCCCAGTGAGTAAACATTGAGATCTGCCTTAGAGCCTGCTCTCCCGGTCACGCCACTAAACCCCAGGCTGCTTCCCCTGCCCAGCCCTGGGGAATGCTGCTAAGCCCAGTGAGCACATTCTCTGTGTCATGCTGCTCCCAACTCTATGCTGCGAGCGCCAGTAAGGAAGCCCCCGGTCCCCACTCCTGGGTGTCCTGTGGTGCCAGTGTGCTCTGACCCCCAGGGGCTCAGGGAACAGCTGACTTCCTAGTGGTGCCAACAGGCAGAGGCGGCGGGCGGGGCCCTCACCCGGTAGAAGATGGGGAGAGAGTCCCAGGTGTAGGGATAAGCAAATGCGAGGATGCGGAGCATCTTACAGAGGCCGGGCTTGTGGAGCTCCAGAAACCTAAATGAGGGAAGAAAGGAAATAAAAGGGGGTCAGTAAATTACACACACACACACACACACACACACACACACACACACACACACATTCAAAATACCCACGGGTAAGACATCAGTGGTGGTGGTAGAGAGGACAAGCACGTTCATAACTCCCTCCAGCAGCTTCTCTGCCAGCTTCCTCCCCATTCCCGCCTCCCCCTTTCCCCTGGACCTCAGAAGTGAGAAGACCTTCCGGGAATCCATCTCCTGGCATCTGAGAAGCTATGGTATCCAGGCGGAGCCAGGGGCTGTGCTCAGAAGCCCTGCAAGCTCCAAGTTATCTGACTGCCAGAGGGCCTTTTGGAAGAGCAGTGGCTGCCAGGACGGAGGCGGGTGGGGGTGGTGGGGGCGGCTGCGGTGGTCCAGGCCCCGGGAAAGCACGTCTGTGGAGGCCGAGCTGCCTCACTGGTCAGAGCCTCCCTGGTGATTACCGAACAGAAGCCCGTGTGTTTGCTCTGATGGACTTCTGGAACATGCACTAGCACACACAGGATTCTCCTGGCACCGGGACACTGTGGACGCTGCCTTCCCTGTCCTCCTCCTCCCATCCCCCCGCGCCTCCAATCCAAGGACAAGTGGAATCAACATGAACCTCAGTGGTGCTGACGGTCACCACAGGCAGGTCCCCCCGAGATGAAGTGACAGGCCTCAGCTGGCCGGTCGGCCTGGGGAGGGGCAGCAGCTGAGGGTGTGGGGCAGGGACAGGACAGGTAGCAGAGGACAGGGGCGGGGCCGAGAGAATGCCCACTAACATGCAGCCCTAAACTGGGGCTCAGGTAGAGGAAGGCTCCCGAGCCTGGGGTAGGTGGACAGGCAGCTGCCCCAATCCTGCAGTGTGTTGTGGGGGTCTGGGTCCCCCCTCGATGGCCACAGGGCTCACGGGGCGGCTGCACTGAAGGACAGTGGGGGCAGTCGGGCCCTCTCAGCCTTCCCCGTGGTTCTGCCCCTCACCATGCTCTCTGGAGGCTGTGGGGCCTGTGTCCCACCACCACACCTCACATCTGCTCCCCAGACCCCTTATCCCAGCCCACAAGCCTGCAGCTTCTTCCCCAAACTCGGTCTGCTGCTCCCCCAGCCCAGGCCCATTTCCCTGGTCATGCCCGCTCTGAGCCAGTGCAGGCACCTGTCTGGAAACTCCATATCCTTGGGCGGGGACACGGCAGAGACCCCCACCTTTGCCTCCTGTGTGGTGGGCAACCTTCCCAAGGACGAGCTGAGTCTGCTCAGGGCTGGGTCCCCCACACCCAGCTCGGAAGCTGGGCAGAACACACAGCCCTCAGGGCTGAGCCTGGGGATCCCTGTGCTGGGGTACGAAGCAGCCCAATGGCCCCCGAGAAGCCCCGCAGCCTCGAGACTAGCTCCAGCCCCACTTAAGTCCGCCAGCAGGCCTCTCCTTTTCTGACCATGCGCATAGCTCAGAGACACACCTGGCAGGCCTGGGGCAGAGAAGAAACAGAAGCTCCAGGAGAAAGGGGAGGGGAAACAGGGGACCTCGGAAACAAGGACCCCAGGCTTGGCATAAACAACCCCCGCCCCCCGGGACAGGGGAGGCAGCGCAGTGCCACGATCTCGATCTCGCAGGCAGTGTCTGACCTGGACAGCCTGGCTGAGACCTTGCCTCTGGCCCCCAGGACCGTGCGAGCCTGCAGGTCACGTACGCTTTGTGTGTCTCAGAATCCTCATGTTCACACGGAGACAGCAACCTGCCCCCTCACAGGCTTGCAAATGTCTGATGAACATTTAACTCACAGAGTAACACTCACTAAGTGGTAGCTTTACCACAAGATGTGTGAGGGGACCCGTTCTCTCCCCCTCTCCAATCTGTAGCCATGTTGCACCAGGAAATAGGAGTGGGAGGGAACCGACAGGTGCTGGGTGATAGGTCTAAGGTCAGGTGACTAATAAGAGGCAAAACTAGGATTTAAATCCACTGCTGTCTGGCTTCCATTGCACACCCCCACCCTCCAGCAGGCTGAGAAGACCTCAGACCACCAGCCAGCCTTTGTCTGTCCTTACCTGGGCCCCTGGGCCCCAGGGGGCAACCCATGCCCCAGGAACCAGGGCCGGTCTCAACAGCCTCGGCCCCTCCTGGCACGGCCAGCCGACCCCAGCAAGCCTGCTCCCTCCTCCCCCACGCACTGCCACCACCTGTCACCTCCGGGCTCAGGGAGGCTCCCTGTGGAAACGCCCTCTTTCTGTGGCCACTTACACAGGAAGCCGGCTCTGGCTGGCTGGCGAGGGCCATCCCCCAAAGCATGGATTTCCTGCGACTCGAGACAACATTTCGCCCAGCCCGACAAAGTGCTTTCCCAGGGGCAAACGGATCAGCCTCTCCGACAGCAAAGCTGAGTCTATAGAGGGGAAAAGGGAGAAAAAGCAGAACAGAAGAGAGACAGCAACAGAGAATAAAAGGCAGAAAAAAGGCCAGCAGCGACAGAGAGGGGCCTTCCACTCCCAAGGTGCAATTCCAGGCCAGGCCATAAGGTGTCGCCACCGCCAGAGGTTTTGAGAGGGAAGGGCTGGAACCACCGATCCCTGTGAGGCACCCCACACCTAAAACCCACCGTGGTAGAGCAGTCCCTGCACTCCAGGATTGAAGGGCCCATTTACAGGGAGTCAGGCCTCCTCTGCCTAGAACCATGTTGACAAGAAACGCCAGATTTCAGGAGAAGCCTCCATCAGGAAGAGGGTAGGTGCAATACCTATCTGTTTAAAAACCTGATCAATCTTTCTGCAGTAGAACTGGAAGGATTTGCCAGCGAATTCCTGAATTAGCAGGCCTTTGGAGCCGTCATTCTAATGCCGAGTGGTGTGTGTGTGTGTGTGTGTGTGTGTGTGTGTGTGTGTGAGTGTGTGTGTGGTTATGGCTGTCTTGTTGTTGCCTGGGTGACATTGCAGGGAGGTGGACATTTCCGTGTGCTGGCTGCAGCCGTAGCAGCACTTTGTCATCTGGCCAAGTCCTCTGACCTCCAATGTACTCGGAAGCCACTGCCTGCGGAACCCCTGGTCTCCAGCTCTGACCCCCAAACCCGCTTCCAGGCGTCCACACTGCAGACCCACCGCAGCTCACTTCCCACCGGGGGTGACAGCCAGCTCCTTTCTGTTCCTACAGCATTGACCACAAGGCATTTCACTAAAGTGTTTGTCAAACAACAAAAAAACAAAAAACCAATGGCTGGTGGCTTGGGATGGAGAAACAAAAAAGTCCCTACAGTGACCTGTGATGCACAGCAAACACTGTAACTCCGCTCCTAAGGGAGTGGTGCCTCCTGGGCCGTGGGTGGTCGGCGGCCATGAGCAGGATCTCCGTCACCCCACCCGGCTGGGGAACCGCAGAGAGGCCTCACAGTCCCTCCTGTCCCCTCTCCAATGCTACAGAGCAAAACGGCAGCTTTCTGCAACATGTTCATCTGAACTAAATTCCATGACACCAAGGACCGCATCTCCAGCTGGGGAGCCCACGGCCCTGTGTGCGGGCTTCCCCTGCAGGGCGGGCACTGGAACGGAAGGAATGCCATGGGGACCGTGAGGTTCTGGGAAGCACGTGCACAGGTGAGGAGCTGCCAGTGAGGCTCATGGTCCCCTGCGGTGCTCAGGGAGGGAGAAGGTGGTCTTTCAGCTCCTGGCCATACCTTGGGCTGAGGGGCCAGGAGGGAGAGGCAGGAGAGAATCTTGGAAGAGAAAGTGACCCCTCACCGGTTTGGCTCAATGGATAGAGCATCAGCCTGTGGACTGAGGGGTCCTGGGTTCGATTCTGGTCAAAGGGCACATGCCCAGATTGTGGGCTCGATCCCCACTGTAGGGCGTTCAGGAGGCAGCTGGTCAATGACTCTCTCTCATCACTGATGTTTCTATCTCTCTCTCCATCTCCCTTCCTCTCTCTGAAATCAATAAAAATATATATTAGAAAGAAATTAAGAAAGTGGCAGTGAGGAATGCCCGAACCAGAAAGCCCATCTTCCAGAGACCCTTGGTTATGATGTGGACACTGAATCCCAGAGGGGGCAGTGAGGGCCACACGGCGAGTCTCTGAGACTGGGAGATGGCCCTGCCCTCCCCTCCTCCTGCTCCTCCTGCAGTTAATTGGGCCGGAGTCGCTCCTGCCCACATCACCTTTCTCACTCCCCAGACACTGACAACCGGGAAGACAGGGAATGGAAACGCAGAGGAGAGACCTTGTAAGATCACAGAAGCCACCGACGTGAAAGGGAGGAGGACAAGGTGAGGAGGAAAAGGAAGGGCCCTCACCTGGGACACCCCACTGTACGTCTGGCTCAGAGAGGGTGGCATTTACCTTTTTCTCCCCTCGGTTCTGGCACAGCCCCCCGCCAGGGGTGTTAACACACCTGGACGCGCCTTCCCCCTCTTTCCCCCTCCCCTCCCGCCTCAGGGCCTGGAAGCTAAGCCCAGGGAGCTGTCTCCCTGGGAATGTGACCGAGCACAGGGCCAGTCCTCAGTCAGATACATGAGGCATTCAAATCCCCAGCCACCTTTGGGCCCTCTCTAGTTGCTCTCTCCCTGCCAGCCACATGGGCTCAGGGACCCTCCCTGCTGCCTCCAAGGCAGCCCCATCCTCTCCGGTCCCAGCCTTGTCCAGGCTGTCTGCTCTGTCCTCTCCTCTCCAACTGAAGTGTTTAACCTCTCAGTCCTCAGTCTGAACGCCACTCCGCAGAACCCTGGTATCCATCCACGCAGGTGTCAGTTTGTACTGTCATTATTTGTTTATGTTACATTCAGGCCTGCTCCACTCTAATGTCCCCTAGACTTTGAGAGGAACTCCAATTGGCCTTTCCTGATGCACTGGGCGTTCTGAGGGCAAGGACTGTGCCTCACTCCTCCTGGGGTCCCAGATCTTAACATGATGCCTAGAGCAGGGCAGGCATTTAGGCATGTTGAGAGTTTGGTTGGTTGGATGGATAGATATGTGGATGGATGGACAGAAGGACAGATGGGTGGGTAAGTAGGTGGATAGATGGATGGATGGATGGATGGTTGGTTGGATACATAAATGAATGTATCTATAGATGGTTGAATGGATGGATGGATGGATGGATGGATGGATGGATGGTTGGTTGGATACATAAATGTATGTATCTATAGATGGTTGAATGGATGGATGGAATAGCCTCCAGTGTGCCCCATAAATAAACGGAAGCAATCCATTTCATTGATAAGGGAAAAGCCCCTTTACGTGGGCATTAAAGATATTCCTGGCTGACCTGCCAAACAAGTTGTCCAATGGTACCAGGCTTGCCACATGCACGAGACCCATTCACTGTATCTGAACAATCAGGGGAGACTCCTGGCTGGAAGGAAACAGTCTACCCGGGTGATTCGGGAAGCTTAAAAAAAAAAAAAAAAAAAAAAGCAGCAGTGTTCTAAGAATTTGCATTGGGACTTCACGGGAAGGCAGTCCTGGCTCATGGACTCTGGACTGTTCCTCCCACACCCACACCCACAGCCTTCCCACCCTTCAGCCCACAGCTTGCTGCCCTCTGGTCCTAGTTCCAAACACCAGAGCTGATGGCCCTGCCGGAGCCAACCAGACAGGACAGGATGGGTCCAAGGACCAGATCCGGGTGTGCGGGTCCCTGGCCAGGCTGTCCATGAGCCCTTGCATCCTCGTGGGCATGCTTCGCCTCTCTTGAGCGGTTTCCAGCATCCTTGTTACTGTCTATGCCTGTTACTCTGGTCTCACCCACGGCAGGGCCCACCTCCTCCCTCTCCACCGTCTCCGCAGCCCGCCAGCTCCGGCTGGGCACTGGGTTGTACTCCAGTAAGAGCTCTGAACCCCGTGTCCTTGAGGAATAGGGGAGAAGGAGGGAAATAACCACCCCTGACATCTGATTCCATTTCTTACCCTATGGGAGTCCCTGTCTCCTCACAGCATTGAGAGCTCTATGATTTTCAGGGAGAGGGAAGAGAAAATTTACCCCCACTCCTACGCCCAGGCCTTTCCATGGGACAGAGTATCCCAAAACCCAGTGTTGAGTCTGAGCCCAGAGCTGAGACTCATGCCCACGGAAAGCCATTACACATGCCCACCTGTCCGAGGACAGGTCCTCGGAGGGCAAGTGGGGGCAGGTAGGTGTTCTGGATGCTGTTTAAGAGTCTACCTTGCCATTTTTAGAGAAAACCAGTTTGTCAAGTTTGAGCAACTTGCCTACCTCTGGGTCCCAGAAAACCTAAGTGTCACCCAAAGAAAGCTGGAGCCAGCCGAAACCGGTTTGGCTCAGTGGATAGAGCGTCGGTCTGCGGACTGAAAGGTCCCAGGTTCGATTCCGGTCAAGGGCATGTACATTGGTTGTGAGCACATCCCCAGTAGGGGGTGTGCAGGAGGCAGCTGGTCGATGCTTCTCTCTCATCAACATTTCTAGCTCTCTATCTCTCTCCCTTCCTCTCTGTAAAAAAATCAATAAAAATATATTAAAAAAAAGAAAAAGAAAGCTGGAGCCAAAGTCACCGTGAGCTACAGAAGCGTACCCCCCACCCACCACCCATTTCCTCCCATGCAGGGGAGTGCCAGCTGCAGGTACCAGTGACTCTGAGGCCTGCAGTCTCACAGGGGCCTCAACCGGCTCCTGGAATTGCCATCGAGGAGACTAACGGTAGGTGCGACCTATCAGCCAACCGTGGCGCCAATGAAGACACCGGCCCAGGAAGCACCCAGCACCCCGACACCACCAAGAAGGGCTGTTGCCCCAACGCTGCCATCTGAGAGGTTTCCTGTGCAATTTAGGGAACTGGAGCTTTGGGGCCGTCACTTTTACAAAGAGCTAAATAAATGAGAGTAGTTATCCTCCAAACAATGCCTCTAGCTCTCGTTCCAATAAGTTTTTTGTGAGGGAAACGGAAGTGGGGGGGGGGGGAATTGAGGGAATTTGAGTGGAGTGTGACTCGTGGCCGGGGGCTTCCCCCGGGATGTGTCCACCTCTGAACATCACCTGTCACGTCACACATATCTAGAGGCAGGCCACTTAGTCCCGAGTGGCAGACTGCCCTTGGTGGGGTGCTCCTCTGGGCCAGACCTGAAACCGGTGTTCTGGGCACATATATACGTTCCCTGGAATCCTTACATCCATCTCGCCAGGGAAATGTTGGCCCATTTTACAGATGAGCAAACAGAGGGTCAAGGAAGATAAGTGACTGCCCAGCAACAAGACCAGCTACATCACCTGCAAGGCTCAGTGCAAAGTGCAAGTGCAGGCTCTCCCTGTTCAAACGTCATTAAGGTTTCAGGACGGTGGTAGCAGAGCATTGAACCAAGGGCGGAGCTCTCTCGATCTGTGTGCCCGAAAAGCGGGTCTTGCCTGGGTTCCAGGCTCCCAAATGCCTCTCGCGCTGCCCCCTCCCGCAGTCCATGAAGATGCCCGGGAGGCCCCCTCCCCGTCCCACCTGAGAGGGGGCGGCCGGGTACCTGGAGTAGCAGGAGAGGCCAATGCTGATGATGGTGTTGAGCACGGCCAGGGTCATGTAGTAATCCCGGAAGGGGGTGCACACCAGCGTGTCCGGGAACGAATAGGCGCAGTAGGCGATGGCCGAGCCTGGGGAAGGAAAGCAGCCTGGGTGAGGAGCCATGACTCAGCACTGTCTGGCCTCACTGGGAACGAGAGCTAGAGGCATTGTCTGGAGGATAACTACTCTCATTTATTTAGCTCTTTGTAAAAGTGATGGCCCCACCGACCCAGGCTAGTCCTGCTGCTACACGCCCACCTGTGCCATCCCCAATCTCCCCCCCACACCCACCCAACACACACACACACACACACACACACACACACACACACACACACACACACACTCTGCCTACCCAGACCATACCCTGAGAATTCACATTGCTCCGTGGGTTTTCACATACATTAACTTACGTAATCTTTGCAACCACCATCCTGCACTCATCCTCATTTTACAAATGGCAGAACAGAGGCACAGAGTGGTTTAGGAACCCACCCAGGGGCACACAGCTAGAAAGCAGCAAAGCCAAGCCTCAAGCGCAGGCAGTTCGGCGACAGTCTCTGTTTTGAACTCCATGCTACGGCCCACGATGACACGCCCTGCGCTCAGGTCTGAGTGTGCACGTGTCCTCAGCGGCTGGCACCAGGGGCTCCTTGCGGGGAGCGAGGACTCTCGCGGGGGTGAGGAGAGTCACATCAGTGGGCTGCAGCACTGGCCAGCAGGGAGCTGGGTATAACGGGCTGGCCTCAGAGGTGTGTGTGTGTGTGTGTGTGTGTCTTGTTTGAGGTTTTGGAGTGTGGGAGAGAAGGCTTAACTAAGGGACGTCATGAGACCTGCCTGCTGCAGCTAAGACCAGGGAGCTCATGTCTGGGACGTAGGCTAGGGGCCTCTCCAGGCACCTCCCCTGCTGGGAGAGGCAGCCACAGGCCGGTCAGCCCAGGGTCTGAGGGATGAAGCCGAGGTCACCTGATACTCCAAAGACAGTGAGCTTGGAATTCTAGCTCAAGGCTGACACAAGGCTCGGGCCTCTGCTCTGACACCATTTCTCAGGTGGCATCTGGTGAGGCCAAGAGTGACCCTGGTGCTCCCAGGTCACACAGGCAGAAGGGGCCCAGAGTCGCCGCCTCCTGTACAACGTTCCCCACCCCAGCAGGCCCCCTGTGAGGTTCCAGCCGGGCACTGGCTCCCGGGGACAACCTCCTGGCCCCGCTGATACGTGGGGAGGCTCCCACGTGGACCAGGACGCAGCGCTCTGTGCATGCTGTTCGGGGCCCAGCTGCCAAGCTCCGCGGGTGGCACAGAGCGAGGAGCCTCAGGCTGCCAGAGGCTGCGGAGGGAAGCAGATTGACCAGAGCCTCGGCATGTTGCACGTGAGGCGGGTGTTTAGGGTGGGCAGCCGGCGTCCAGCACAGGGGCTGGTCTGGGAAGCCCCTTAGAGGCTGGGGGGGGGGGGGTTCCGACAGGCCTGGGGCAGGCAGGGCTTTTCCGGGGGCAGAGCAGGAGCTGCGCCGGATGGCTAAGGAAAGCCAGCCTCATCCTTCGGGCAATTGGGAGATTTCTTTCTTTTAAACAAGTTATTTTAAGATTGCAGTTTACATTCAATATTATTTGTACTCGTGTCAGGTGTCACTGGGAGGGTTCTGAGTGGGGGATTAAGGTGACCAACATGTAGTGAAAGTGCCCAGGATGGCCTAGGGGGGAGGGCTGGAAGCCAGGGGTTGAGGGTTTCCGTGGGGTTGCAGGAGGGGTGGGGGTGGGGCAGGGGCTGCAGACATGGAGCGGGGTGTCCGGTGGCATCCACAGGCTCTCACAACTGCTAGGACCTCCTTCCCTGTTCACTGAACACCCCACGCCAGGCCCTGGGCTACGGCCGGAAAGTGCACCGTCCTCAGGGAGCTGTTCTCAGGGTTGGGGCAGAGATGGAAGCGTCAGAGCTGCAGGGAGGTGGGCCCTGGCTCTGAGGTGTAACCTGGGTCCCTGAGCTTCACTGTGCCTCGTTCTTCTCACCAGGAGCGGAGAGCGTGGGTGTAATGACGGACTCTCCGGGGAGCACCGCTGTCAGGGTAACTAAATCCTCGCGGGAGCGGCCACCCTCCGTGCTCACTAAGCCCTCCACTTCCAAAGGCACTGAATCTGCGCAGCACTCCCAGGAGGAAGCTGTGCCGGTTTGTGGGTGAGAGACGGAGGCCGGAGAGACTAGGAACTTGCCCAGGAGCAGGGAGGCAGCCGGGCCACCCAGCAGCGCCATGCCACCCCTGTGCCGGGGCCAGTGCCAGCCCGGGTCTGCCTTGCAATGACCACTCCAATGGCTCCTTCTTGTCACAGTGAGTTTGGGCAGCGGTAAAGGGCCCAGGAAGCTCCCAGGCTAAGGAGTTTGGACTTCCTCCTAGGAAATGGGGAACCCTGAAAGGGTTTAAGTGGGAGGGGTGCCAGGTTCAGAAGGCATAGAAATCACCCGGACAACAGGGAGGAAATGGGGTGTGTAAGGGCCGAGAGGAGTCTGTTGAAACAGTGCAGGGGAGAGGCACGAGGGTCTGAGCCAAGCCAGGGGGGTGGAGCCGATCTTAGAAATGTGGAGGAGACTCAACTGAACCTGCTGATTAGAGAGGATGGAGGAAGTGGGATGGGCCAGAGCGAGAGGGTGGGGAGCTGAGACTTCTGACTTGGAGCCGGGAAGGGGAGAATGGGCACAGTCCTGGCCGCAGGGCTGGACACGGGGGGAGGAGGGAGGGGGGACCCGCACGTGAGCAGTTTGGATTAGACAGGGGGGTTGGGAGCACCTCCCAGAGGTGCCTGGGGATGGGCACAGAGGAGAGCACCCAGGGAGCTGGGCCGTGTCAGAGCCGAGGCCCAGGGACTGGTGCTGAGCTCCCACACCTATAGGGAGAGCAGAGGAAGAGAACCAGCAAAGGAGGAGGAGGGAGTGGTGCACCAGGGGCCAGAGAAAGAGAGGGGGTCTGAGGAGCACCGGGGGCCCTGCATCAAAGGCTGCAGGGAGAGCCCACAGAGCTGCATAAATCCCAAGGGTTAGGAAAAGGCCAGGCCTCAGCAACCACAGTTTTAGTGAATGGTGGGGGCTGGACAGAAGAGCAATGAGGAGTAGGAGGTGCGACAGTGAAGACTCTGTGTGTGTGTGTGTGTGTGTGTGTGTGTGTATGTATGTAATAGAGGTCTAGTGCATGAAATCTGTGCATGAGTAGGGTCCCTAGCAGCTGCCAGCTACCAGCCAGGGTCTCCCTTCTCCTGCTGCCAATTGCTGGCTAGGGCCTTCCTTTATTCTGTGCCAACCTCTGGTAGTCAGCTCACATCATAGCGAGTGATCAAACTCCCGGTCAGTTGAACTCCAAGGGGATACTTCCATATTAGGTGCTATATATATATATTAGTGGCCTAGTGCATGAAATTCGTGTATGGAGAGGGGTTCTTTCCAACCGATGACATCCCTCTCACAATCTGGAACCACTGGCTCCTAACCACTCACCTGCCTGCCTGCCTGATTGCCCCTAACCTCTATGCCTGCCTGCCTGCCTGATTGCTCCTAACTGCCCTCTCCTGCCGGTCTGATCTCACCCCCAAAAGCCTTTCCCTGGGGGCCTGATCTCTCCCCCAACTGCCCTCCCTGCCAGCCTGATACCCCTAACTGCCTTTGCCTGCCTGATCACTCCTAACTTCCGTCCCTTGCAGGCCTAATCTTGCCTCCAACTGCCCTCTTCTGCCAGCCAATTTGGTTCTGATTGGTCGGTTTCTATGCCAGTCAGCATCAAAAGCTCTGCCTCTTAGGAAGCCATTGGCTCCTCACAGTTGACCCAGATTTGGTTCTGATTGGTCAGTTTCTATGCCAGTCAGCATCTCTGGGCCTATCAATGGGGCCTGATCAGAAAGACAGGGCTGATCAGCAGCCCAGTGGAGGCCTGGAGAGAAATGGAGGTGCAGCTACTGGTGCAGCCCATAGAGAAAGAGTGAGGCAAGTGCTGATCAACATCTGCCTCACAGACTACAGATCAGACCCTGCTTCTCTCTTCAGGCCTCTCTCTGGGCCTGACTTGCAGCCCCCTCAGCAGTCAACCCAGCCATGGCAACCCAGTGCTGACTGCAGGACTGACTTACGGTTGGTTTTGCCTCCAGTCATAACAGACCCAGGGTTTTCATATATTAGAATGTGTACATGGCCGAAGCCGGTTTGGCTTAGTGGTAGAGCGTCGGTCTGCGGACTCCGGTCAAGGACATGTACATTGGTTGCGGGCACATCCCCGGTAGGGGGTGTGCAAGAGGCAGCTGGTTGATGTTTCTCTCTCATCGAAGTTTTTAGCTCTCTATCACTCTCCCTTCCTCTCTGGAAAAAAAAAAATCAATAAAATATATTTTAAAAAAAGAATGTGTACACGTGTAAGTGCGTATATAATGTATGTGCCTACATTGTATGTATATGTGTATGTGTGTACGTGTGTATTATACGTGTGTTTGTGTATATGTGTATTAGAGTGTATGCATGTGTGTATCTATGCATGTGTAGAAAGAGAAAGAGGAAATGGGATAGAGGTGGGCTGCTTGGCCAAGGGAAGACCCGGAGCAGGGTCGGGAGGGAGGGGAGGCTGGAACTGGGATGTGAGGGGATGGATGGATGCCTCTGATGGGGAGAGGAGAGGAGTCATCCGGAGGGGACATCTTAGTCAGAGGAAAACACAAGAAGGCTGAGAAAATCGCTAACTCCTCTAAGCCCCTGGGCGAATGAGGCTTCCCTGCCAGGCACGACAGACCAGCACCAATGTGGCTGGCTCCTCCTGGCCTGCCAGAGCAGATGTTCGTTTCAGAGAACTTGTGAGCCAGTTGTTAGACTCAGCCAGTATTAAAAATTAAATATCATAAAGTTACAATTAAATGTCTCAGTAACAAAAGTAATAACTATTCAATTAATCCGTCTACTGTGTCAGTATAGACTCGAGGAATTACTGTGTAATGGTGAGCTACTGTGTATCTCTCCCCATCCTGTGTTCAGCGATGTGATGGCCTGAATCCTGACCTGTGGAATATTTATACCACAGACCAGCACACATCACAGACCAGGGCCCTTCTGCGGAGGAGCCATTGTTCGGCATTGCCAGCACACCTGTGGGCTTATCACACACTCATCGGGAACCTGGACGGGGCACTGCATTCCCTCAACTCATCTGCAAGCCCACCAAAGCCTTGGGTGGCCCCAGCTCCCAGGGGAAGGGCAGGTCGCTCAGTGCCAGCCGAGGGAAGCCGAGAGCAAGGCCTCACCTACCCAGGCTGAAAAGGTTGACAGCGCCGTAGTCCAGGAAGTAGCAGATGTGCCGGGCGTTCTTGGACATGGAGCTGAAGGTGTGTGCGCAGCTGGAGGCTAAGGGGTACACACAGCTGGTGCTCATGTACACGAGCAGAGGCCAGGAGTAGCTGTCGTTCTGGACATCTATCCCATACAGTGCCGTCACAAACCTCCACACGAAGAACCTGCAACACAACAAGGCCCGCTCCATCCCTGTAGCTGGAGCTCCTGTGCCTTCTGCCCTCTGCCTCCTGTTCCCCTGGGATGGCCAGTCCCTACCCGTTTTCGCTTTGGTGAAATACCCTGAGCAAGGGAGGGTGAGTGGGATCCTTTTCTGGTTGGAAATGAGCAGGAGAGGCAAGAAGAGAGCCTTTATCTAGTCCAGTCCCCTCTCCCTGCTGGTGGTGACATCTTGCCCAAGTGATTCTCCAGCCTCAACTTGCATGCTTCCAGGGACAGAGAGCCCGCCACCTACCCAGGCAGCTCTGAGAGCTAGAAAGTTCCTCACTGAGCTGCCGTCTGTCTCTTTGGAATCCATCTCCATTCCATCGGCCCGAGTGCTCCCCAATGGGACCATCGAGAACAATCCCATCCATATCTTAAGGCAATGGTCGGCAAACTACGGCTCGCGAGCCACATGCGGCTCCTTAGCCCCTTGAGTGTTCTAACACTACTTCTTCCAAATAGACTCGCCCAGGCCGAAAACCGCATGGGCCACGAAGTTTCAGTTGCACTGTACGTGCGCGCCCGCCTGTGGTATTTTGTGGGAGAGCCACACTCAAGGGGCCAAAGAGCTGCATGTGGCTCGCAAGCCGCAGTTTGCCGACCACAGGCTTAAGGCATAACCCTTCTCACCTCTTTTAAAGTCACCCTAAATACCCTGTGCATTCAACCATCCCTATTAGGATCCATATTTGACCTGGGCACCATCCCTGTGGCTGGTCTCCATTCCCCGTACAGGGAGGCTCCCCAACCACAGGCAGTCCCCCAGTCTAGAGACAACAGGGCGTGTTCTCTCCCGCACAGTTCCTCCGTTAACATTGCAATCACTTTTCTGAGTGGCCGAGGCCCATGCTGGGTCTCAGCCGAGCCTGAGTCTCTGGCTCCATCTCTACAGCGATAGTGCACACTCGATGTCAGACCTGCCTGACCATAACCCACATGAGGGGGTCCTGCCTCCAGAGCTGCTCACCTCCACGCACTGCTAAGAGCAGCCCCCTTCCCTCGCACCCTCCCAGGGAAGGAGACTATGAGCCTTCCACGCAGGGACCCAAGGAGCATCGCTGAACCCTCCGGCTGTACGTGGGATCGTTTCCCTCCTGTCCCAGCAGGAATAAAGCTTAAGCTACCTGCTGTTTCTCGAAACATATCCTTTAGTCACCTTGAGATTATTCCCTCGTCCCCTTTTCTTAGGGCATCTTACCCGGCTCTCCCAGGCCCTCCTGCCACTCCGTGCTGTTCAGCTGGGCCTGGCAGTGAAGGGGGGAGCACGCGATGGGGCGCCCCAGGCACCGGGCTCAGTGGCAAACCACTAAGAAGTCGTCCACAGGGTCTGCACCCAGGGCTCGGGCCCCACAAACAGGGATGGTCAGGCCAGCACTCTTTGTAGCGGCACAAACTTCACAACAGCCCAAATCACCTGGGGTTCATCCATAAAACAGACACCAGAGCCCGAGGGAGTCAAGGACTTGTCAAGCTCACGATGTTTTAGCAATGGCTCTTGTGAGACCCAGAGAGCTCTGAGCCTGAAGGGGGGATTAGATCAAACCAGGCATACAGGGGCAGGGGGCAGGGAGCAGGGGAGAAGACCGAGCCAGGAGCCCCACAAATCCTACCAGCATCCATGGTCTGAAGCTCCTCTCAGCTCCACACCCACACACCAGGCGGAGTCCCCAGTGTCCCCGCACAGCATCTCAGCCCTCCCTGCCCCCATTGTGTTTAAAGAAGCCCTGGCCCCCAGGGCTCCCGAATGGAATGAGGCGGCTGGCCGAGGGGCTGGGCCGTACCAGAAAGGCAGCAAGTGAGTCCAGATGTTGAGGGTCTCATTGGTCATTTGGAAAAGGCTGAGGATGCAGGCAGTGGCAGAACTCTGCGGATGTCGGTAGCCAAAGAGAATGCCCTGCTCATGGAACACCTGTAGGGAGAGAGGGAGGAGCACCCAGGTGAGACGAGAGGGTGGCAGGCAGGTCTCAGGAGGATCATCTCTGTTTTCGCCCAGGCTGTGCACTTGAACACTTATTAAAGTGCCCCTCCCCCCGCCTGCCCCCGGAGTCTAACATCCCATGTCCTCCAAGAAGCCCACAGCCAGCTGGAGGAGAGAATGCAGGGCCCTGGCTCCCTCCAGGATTCCAGCCTGTCTTCCCTTCTCAGACACACTTACACTCGTCATGAACATTCCTTAAGAATCTGGTTTGGCACCCTCTCCCTGGCAGCGGCTGCCTGGGGCCTACGGCCTGGTCCTCGGATGCCTCGGCAGCTGGTGGACATATGTGCTGTCTGCCGGAGCCGACATGCCCCAGGTGTCTGGGGCTGGCAGGAAGGTCTCTGCCTGGATCCCTCTCGCATATACTCACCAAGGCGCTTCACAAAGGCCTTTTGATGATGACAACTGTGATGGCATCAGCTGAGGAGGAGGACAAGGCTGGCCACTGCAGGCCCCCACAGAGCACCCCACTCCCCGCAGCCCACTGGGCAAGTCTCTCAGGTACCAAGTGCCCATGAGACACGTGGCTCTCAGCCCGCCTGAGGACTACATCACACATTAGAAAGGGTCCTGGGGAAGAGGACGAGGCAAGAGGGACAACGCTCAGGCTGCAGAGTTAGGTGGGAAAAAGAAGCCTGTCAGCTGTATTCCCGCCGTGATGGTAGGACCTACAGACATTCCTGTCCGTGCACTGGGGCAGAGGCGGGGAGGAAGCAGAAAGGTAGAGTCTCGCTGGTTGGGGTAGCAGGGTTTGCAGGATATTTTTTGCCCTTTGTGTAGGTTTAGATCAGTTTCCCAATCTCGCCACGTTTGATGTTTTGGGCCAGATAGTCCTTGTTGTGGGGGCTGTCCTAGGCATGGATAGCAGAGTCCACGACTCTCCTGAAAAGATGCCAAGTAGCACACGCCGTGTCCCCTATCAAGTTGGGACAATCAGAAATGTCTCCAGGTATTGCCAATGTCCCTTGCGGGGTAAAATCTCCCCCAGTTAAGAACCACTGGTTTACACGAATGTTGTTATAACCATTAGGAAGTAAATTTAATATTAGTAGATAATCGAGGCAAATGATAAAGATAATATCAGTGATCATACCACAAATCAGGCCACAATAAGTTTTAAATCCTTCTCTTTGGTTTTCTAGGGCTGAGGGGGGAAGGGGAGGCTGGGAGAACACATGTCTCTCACTTACATTACCAACTTCTTAGTGTAAGAGAGGATCCCGATTGAGAGATACACAATATGGTACATAACTTGTACTCTCTCTGGAGGCTCTGAGTCAAGAGGTCACTTTAAATAGTGGAGAAAGGAAGGGGCTGTTAGAGTCAAATGTGGGCCACTGAGGTGCCAGGTGCCACATGACCTTGAGCTGGGTCATCCCTTCCCGGGCCTCAGTGTTCTCACCTGTGAAATGGGAGGCGTTAGCTAGCTGGGTGGCCAGTACGTTCCTTTCTTAGTTCAGTTCTGGGTTAAACTGGTCAGCTGGGGGAGGAGGATAGAGAGGTTGGTTCATGGTTCAGTGGAGAAATACTGTTTGGATTAGATTTGGGTCTTAGCTAATTAAAGCGATTTGTTCCAGTTATAGATTCGCCTTCAGTTCTGCTGACATCCTGGTTTGCAGTGGAGAGGCCTCCCTAACGGGCAGCAGGGATCTTGGCTTACAGTTACCCCCACCCCCACCCCCGACGCCCGCAGGGCTGCAGGCAAGGAAAATGGGACGCCCTTCAGCTTTTGATCCATGTGAGGAGGATGGTGTGGGCTTGGCACACACTCAGAAGGCCCTCTTGAAGTCTTAGCTGGTTTGGCTCAGTGGATAGAGTATTGGATTGTGGACCAGAGAGTCCTGGGTTCAATTCCAGTTAAGGGGATGTACCTCGGTTGCAGGCTCCTCCTTGTCCCAGGCCCTGATCGGGGTGCTTGCAGGAGGCAACCAATCAATGTGTTTCTCTCACCTCGATATGTCTCTTTATCTTTCCCTCTCTCTTCCACTTTCTCTTAAAAAATCAATAGAAAAATATTCTCCAGGGAGGATTAAAAATTAAGAAGGTCCTCTTGTAGAAACTATGGGTCATTCATTCTGTCTCTTACATTTTCTCTTTTTCCTTAAATTTTTTTCCCTTTAAATTATAACATTGGCCATTTATTAAAATGCAAAGACCCTGGAAAGGAGCAGCTGTTATGATTCACTCCTTGCCATGAACCAGTTCAGCAGATCCTGTGCAGCAGGAGATCTTGTGCCCAGGGCACTGGGCATGCTGGGGGTGGCACGGAGGGAGGAGGTGGGATGGGGCTGCAGGACACTAAGCACTGTCTCATGCAGGACCCTGCTTAGGTTCTCAATTTCACATCACTGGCCACAACCCACACGCAATTACTTGAACTCTAATAGACAACCATTGTTGGTATCAAGCAATTATTGGTAAGTGCTATGGCAATTTAGAACACTGGTGTGATGTTCTTTAAAACATAACTGCCCAATATCCAATAAGGATGCGTGTTGTACATGCAACACAGTATTTATTTATGTGTCTGCTGGCCAAACACATAAGAAGGATAACAAGCAATGAAACAAATTATTACTATCTAGGATGAAGAATCTAAAGGGGACTCGTAATTCAGTGAACAATAAAGTGAAAAAAGGAGACATAAAATGCCTTTAAAAGGTAACTCTGACTCTGTTCAAGTAGGGGCCCCTCGGCCAAGGTCCTGTTGAATGGCTGGCCTCGTACCGGGCTGCGACCCACCGAAGGTGAAGGTGAGGAAGCTGAAACAGTGGCGCGTCCCATTGGTTTCCCATTTGTTATGGGAAACCAATGCAGTCTTTGAGTTAAGAACTAGGGAAAACGGTTTTCAATTATAGGCATTGATTTAAAAACCTGCCGTGGGCAAGCCTGTGGTAATGGTATAACATGACTAGAAAGTCTGAGGCAGGCAGGAAAATGGCCCCCAAAGATGTCCACGGCCTAATCGCCAGGACCTGTGACTGTATTACTGTAGGTTGCACAGCGCAGGGGAATGAGGGTCTCAGGTGGAATTCAAGTGGCCAATCAGATAACATTAAAATGGGAATCTCATCTGGGCTTCTCAGGTGGGCCCAGGTAACCACAAGAGTCCTCACAAGTGGAAGAGGAAGGCAGAAGAAGAGAGGCAGGAGAAGGACAGTCGGGAGACCCAACATTGCTGGCTTTGCAGATGGAGGAAGGGGCCGGGAGCCAAGGAATGCTACCAGCGGTCTGTGGGAACTGGAAAAGGCAAGGAAACATTCTCCCTCTGAGCCTCTACTGCCTTCATTTTATTTTAAAAATATTTTTATTGCCGAGACCGGTTTGGCTCAATGGATAGAGCGTCGGCTTGGGGACTAAAGGGTCCCGGGTTCGATTCCGGTCAAGGGCATGTACATTGGTTGCGGGCACATCCCCAGTAGGGGGTGTGTAAGAGGCAGCTGATCGATGACTCTCTCTCATCGATGTTTCTAACTCTCTATCTCTCTCCCTTCCTCTCTGTACAAAATCAATAAAATCTATTTTAAAAATATTGTTATTGATTTCAGAGAGGAAGGGAGAGGAAGAGAGAGATAGAAACATCAATGATGAGAGAGAATCATTGATCGGCTGCCTCCTGCATGCCCCCCACTGGGGATGAAGCCCACAACCCAGGCATGTGCCCTTGGCCAGAATCGAACCTGGGACCCTTCAGTCCACAGGCAGACACTCTATCCACTGAGCCACACCAACTAGGACTACTGCCTTGATTTTAGTCTGAGACCCATGCCAGACTTCTATCCTACACAACTGTAAGATGATAAGCTCGTTTTCTTTTTTAAGCCACCAAGTTTGTGGTAATTTCTTGTGACAACAATAGAAAACAAATACAATGTCAGAATGAGACCAAAAAATCCAAAAGCAATCTTAGAGCCAGAAATGGCAGCACATGGTTGCAATTTCTTACTAGAAGAATCGATGGCTTCCTTTGGGACAATTCTCTGAGTCTTCTCCAAGACGGGACATCTTGTTGAAATGCACAACAAATCTGACCATAAACTATTCTTAGTCACACAATGGGAATGCCAAATAAATGCCATAAAGAGAGAATAAAAACAGCAATCTAAAACCTGGTGATCCATATTAAATTAAAATATTTAATTTCTTCTAAATGATAATTATGCAACTTCATTACAATGTTTAAAGTTAACATGTAAAATTTATAGTTCATTTCTGATTCTAAACATGGCTTTAAGAATATGTAACAGAACTGAGCAGAAACTTGGCAGAAATTTCTTCCAAATGAAATTAATTAAAAAAACAAACTAAGACTCAATGACTCAAGAATAGTGGTGTAATTTGGCATCACTGCTAATAGAATACAAATTTTGTGATAATGTTCATTACAACAATACAACTCATAATTCTGCTGAAATGAAAGCAAGAAAAAGGAATTATGGAATAAACATGTAATAATTTACAAATTATGTATGTTTCTATTTTATTACTCTTCCAAACATCACTAATCCATCATTATAACATCCAGATGCTCAACAATAACTGAATTTAGTTGTCTTTGATATTTTGCTGACTTCAGCTATGTAAAAAATCAGAGCTTTACATACTGTTTTTGTCATTATGAAGGGATAGTGTCAAGGTAGAAATGGAACCATTTTCTATTTAATTTTTTACTTAAATCTTTATTACTGAAAGTATTACACATGTCTCCTTTTTTTTTTCCTCTTATTGATCCCCTAGAACCATTTCCAATTAACCATTTGCTAGCTTCATTTGTTTTGCTAGCGTCATTTGTAAGTTTTATGTATTTAGACTGATGGTCTTCTGATTCAGCCCCAGCACGTTAGGGGCAGACTCTATTTCATTTGATTTTCCTCAGAAGTGTCCTGCAAGGCAGGGACTGTCAAACTCCTTTTATAGACAAGGAAACTAAA